TGTATATATTGAGAGGGATGGATATAGTATCCTACTGCCGTGAAAAACTATAGCTTTCGACTTTTCTAGGTATAATATACATAATTTCTTCTTCGTGGCGTGAAAAGGATCGCCATTCTTACCGATGTTCTCATTGTCTTGGTCGAAACGAGATCTCCGGCTTACCGTCCTCATTCCTATTCTGGAGTATCTTCTCCCACGTGGCACGGCGGCCTGCTCGGCTACGCATAAGTTTAGACTATTAATATACGTGCTATGTTGGAAATTGCTAGCTACTGAAAGATACTACTAAGTAAGGTACGTCCCTGTCGGGAAGGGGTAGGTGGTGGAAATGGCCCCTTGGGGGTTTCTTGGCTGGTCTGGAATTATCTGTATATAAAATGACTATGTGACCATTGAGATAAACTTCTGGTAACTAACTATATAAATATTATAAAAACAATTTGAGAATAATACTCGGTGTACAGTAGTCCGTAATATATTAACTGTTTAGTAGAAACTTGAATTTTATACATCTCTTTATATGTAAGATAATGCTTAAGTAGCTTATAAAACTATATAGGAATAGCTTTAAATATACTGTTTTTAGATCTTACATGACATAAATATTACTTATTGGATTTCAAATTAAAGTATTGTACTCGGTAGATTACTTGTTATTGTTACTACCGGTGACCCTGTGACTTTCTGCCACCCAGCCTCGGCAGTGTTCTGCCATACCATTCTGCGCAGATATGTCAGTAGCTGGGCACTCAATCATAAATAAAATCAGAAGTAGTTTATAAATCCATGAAATAATAGATCAACTATCAACGTAAACACCGAGCTGTTTTTCTACTGTGGAGTAATTAAAAAAGTAAGTCTTTCTTGACTAGAGCCCTTTTCCACAGTATACAACTAGAATCACCTAGAATTGTAGGTTCCCACCAAGCTACATACTGGAATATAATAGATGAATCCAGGAATAAAAAACTGGTATTAAAATCGTATATCCGATATTTAGTGAGCAGAAGTAGAGTTGATTCAGATTTTCTATTATAATCAAAGGTATAATTATTTGCAGGATAGAGATGACCAACATTGATCGGGGGGGGTGTTGCATCGATGAGTATCTACGTATTGCGCTGTCGGTTGAAACTAACTTGGGACAAAAATATGCATATTATAGGTAATTACTGAGTACTCTGGGCAAACGAGCGGGTAGTTACCGCACTTCTAACGGGTAGACATCGGCCTAGACTAGCCGCGTTTACCGACTTGTCCATTCACGCTGGGGTCCACGCATTCAGGTCTGGCGGACTGGCTTGCGGGGTTCCCTCCACCTTTCAAAGACAATAGGTACAGTACGTACACATACTGTACACATAACAGCCGTTGAATTTCTACCATAGTAGCCTTGGAATTACTATGGTATACTGATAATCGAGGTGCTCAGTGAGGCTTGTATGCTCCTTATTTACAAAATCTTGTGTTTAATTTACCCCCTCTGATCTCGTGCCATCATTCCGTGCTATCTTACCATTCTCGGCTGTCAGGCTCCGGACTCCGTCATCCTGCGTCGATCAACCAAGTTGGTAACTGTCTCGTGAGCGGCCTTATGACCAGTGTCAATTAGTGCATCACCGCTCTCCGCCCACAGTACTTTTCCATGCACTTGTATTTTGCTGCACACTTTCGCTCAACTTGAATGTTCCTCGCTCTGGCGTGCCCCTTCAGTCCCGGTGCAGTGCCTCGTTACTCTAACCTCCACCTGCGAATTGACGGCTGTGCCCTACTCCAGGCGTCGCCTTCTAAACCCCTTTTTCCAACAGGCGAACCACGGCTGGTGCACAGCTAGTTTGTGGGCTTCGCCTGATACCGTTCTTTTTCATCCTTGATTGGGGTGGTTAAGGAAACCGGTCAATTATATCATAAAATAGAGAAGAGGACTGAAATCGTTCCGGGGGCAAAGGGCTGTCACGTCCAGCCCATCATCACCGCCAACATTCCTTCTCAAACATCTCGACGGCATACTTCTTCGAGTATACCCTTGCGGCGCCTACATTCTCAAACGCGATTTTCAAGTGCTGCGTCAGGCGACGTAGGGCAGTCGGCGGCTGAGGGGGAAAGTCGACGGCGTTCTTCTCTATCATCGGCTAACTCAGAGTTTGTCTGGACTGACAGTGGAGATTTGGCCGAACAGCCGGCTGATGCAGAGCATCCACTACAGACTAACCTTTCAAACCGACCAGAACTAGACACATCGTACCCAATTGGCTCCCAGGACCGACTCAAACAGCCAAAGCGTATCCGCATACTACACCAGCCATACATTGGCAGTCTCGCAACCGAGAAGATATCGATTGAGATACCTCAGCCACTGCCCAGGCGGATTTCACGTGCAGAACGCATCTTAGCAACGATAATGTCCCCAAACAATCGACAAAATGCCCAGATGCATGGCCTGGTTGGCAAACCATTGCTGTAAGGCCAACTCAGATTGAGTGAAAAACTATTCCTATGCGCCGAGCTGACGTCATGTAGGTATTTCACGAGTGTTTTTGTATCTTTAGGCGTCTTTCTCTTCGGCTATGACCAAGGAGTGATGTCTGGCATCATAACGTATGTGTTTCATGCTCAGCAATGCCAAATTCAGATGACGATAGCTGATGAATCTTAGAGGTTGGTATTTCAAGGATTACTTCAATCAACCATCACGAGCTGCGATTGGCACTGTTGTTGCAATTCTAGAAGTTGGAGCATTCATTTCATCCCTACTTGTTGGGCGAGTTGGCGATCTTATCGGGCGTCGCAAAACGATACTTTATGGTTCAATCGTCTTCTTCGTTGGTGGCGCGTTCCAGGCATTTGCGACTGGTCTGCCTATGATGATGGTCGGCCGTATCATTGCAGGGTTAGGGGTTGGAGCACTCTCTACCATCGTGCCCGTTTATCAGTCCGAGATCTCGGTAAATATTACCACTAGCCCAACCCAAGCGATTGCACGGTTTATATTGACACTGTCTCAAATAGCCCCCCCATAACCGTGGAAAGCTAGCATGCATTGAATTCACGGGGAATATTTCCGGCTACGCTGCAAGTGTCTGGGTTGACTATTTCTGCAGCTTCATAGATAGTAATTACTCCTGGCGTCTCCCTCTGCTCTGTCAATGCATCATGGGTGCTTTGCTTGGTGTGGGTAGTCTGATCATCTGCGAATCTCCCAGGTAAGTGTTTAAAAATCAGTCACATGTGTTCACTGGGTACATATCTTACAGCAGATCAGGTGGCTACTAGATAACGATTTTGACGAGGAAGGTATGGTCGTTATAGCGAATTTATATGGCAAGGGTGATCTGCACAACGACAAAGCCAGACAAGAATACAGAGAGATCAAGATGAATGTTCTTCTTCAACGGCAAGAGGGCGAGAGATCCTACAGCGACATGTTCAAACGTTACTATAGACGGGTATTGATTGCAATGTCAGCACAGGCATTGGCTCAGCTGAACGGAATCAACGTCATCTCTTACTACGCCCCACTCGTTTTTGAATCTGCAGGGTGGGCTGGCCGTGATGCTATTCTAATGACCGGCATAAACGCCATATCCTATCTTGCTTCTACGGTTCCTCCGTGGTATCTTGTCGACCGGTGGGGAAGACGGCCAATTCTTCTCTCAGGGGCAGTGGCTATGATTGTGTCCTTGTCTTTGATCTCGTATTTCATCTATATAGATGTTGCAGCAACACCAACGCTCACGGTCATCTTTGTCATGATATACAATGCTGCCTTTGGCGCATCTTGGGGACCTATACCGTGGCTCTACCCCCCCGAAATTTTGCCCTTAAGCATCCGTGCAAAGGGCGCGAGTCTTAGCACTGCGGCAAATTGGGCCTTCAATTGGCTGGTTGGGGAAATCACACCCGTCCTCCAAGCCGCAATCAAGTGGCGTCTCTACTTGGTCCATGCTTTCTTCTGTGCATGCAGCTTTGTGTTAGGTCAGTACACCCTTGTAATTTCTCGCACAGTCACGGCCTACCTGACAATTATCGTTTAGTGTATTTCCTATATCCGGAGACAAGTGGTGTCCGGTTGGAGGATATGAATACTTTGTTCGGCGATGCGACGACCTCTATGCCGACTCCAGCAACCCAGGCGGAACGTGGCTCCTTGATGAGTGCCGGCTCACCTGTGCCTTCGCTCGACATTAGGCGACAATATGGTCCTCTGGGAGCGGATAATGCGATTCCTGGATTGGACATTGATCCGCCCAATATGAGCCCTAGTGCCTATAATAAGTCTGTTAGGCCCGTAAATCCAGAGGGTCATGCTAGTCGATCGGAGGGATTCGGCGGTTGGATCTCCAATATGATAACCCGTCATAAGGGGTCTGGTTCTTCGGCACAAAACAACCAATATAGCCGCCTTGGGCAGGAGGAGAATGACTAGGGCAGTCAGTCATTGTATTGCTAACGTGCCCTTACACTGCAGGAAACTGCGGTGCTGCTCTTTTCTGCCTCGATCGTGTTTTCGCCTTTGGGCGCGCAATATTGACCTAGTTTGTTTTTCAAGCAACCTGCGCTGGGAATGTTTTGCCTCTTTCCGTTGTTAGATGTCGTTGTTTTGTGTTTGTGTTCATTCCGATGCCCTCATACTGAAATTTTTGGGATAGAAGCGCGGACTACAATTATCGCGTTGTGTTTCAAATACAAGCTAGCAGCATGACGATGTAATGTGCTCGTGAGATACAACCCATCTTTATACTTATATGTAGTACTTGGCGGAACCTTATGTTTCTCTAGAAGCAGCTGCCATATATATGAAAACTCATTTGTAAGGTATGCGAACCGAGGCAAACTCAATGCGCCATAGAATCGCATCTTCAGTGTCAACGACTAATGAGGTAATGTGCTTATCATGGATCCGGGTTGTCTGGGTCTGCTGTCCTCAATAGCCCCCAAGTGGGGCGGAAACCATTCAATCATGCGCCCGGGCTTTCCATGTTAACTCCAGGCCAACTCTCACTTTCACCTGAATGTGCTGCGCCTTTTCCATGCCTGTCTTTGCCCCTCGCCATTTCCTTCAATCTTCTCTTGGTCCTGCAGTCCACTTCTGTCAAGAACTTCAATCTTTTTATTTTTCGTGTTAACTTCCTACTTACCTTGTCGAATTCTTCTGAAAACAACTCATCCCACTGCCACTGCAAATCCTTTATCTAAACCCCTTACATTCTTTAAAACAGTCATCTTCCGCAGTCTTTCTCTACTGACATATGAAGCTTCTCGCGGGACTTCAAGAGATGACCCCTTTCATTTGAAATCAAGTCTCAATCTTCGCTAGGTTCACTGTGCCAGATTGTGCCAGTTCAAGACTGTGCTATCCAGTCCCTTTCACTTTCAGCTACAAAAGCTACAACAGACGTCTTTCTTACTCTTTCTCTTCCCTTTCTCTCTGAGCTATGGCCGAAACAACCGGCTCAAGCACTGGTGCGAATCTCGCACCTGATTTAAGGCGCAGGACGATTGCACGTGGGGGGAAGCCGAATGTTACATCAGATCAAAATCACAATGCTGAGATGGAAGTGAAATACAAGGTGAGCATCATCTACTGTCTGCCAAATATACACTGTCAACAGATGGTATTGAAATGCAGCTCACATACGTTCTATGAGGTGTAGCCTCGACCGGATTCTGACATAGCCTACTGGGAGCCTATCATCGCACCGTTGCTGCTCACAGTAATGTCTATTTTCACTCGCATGTATCGCATTGGACGTTCGAACATTGTCACATGGGATGAAGCGCAGTAAGAATGTCACTGTTCTGGAAAAGTATGTACACCACTGGGCTAATCCGTTGCTCATTGCTATCTAGTTTTGGCAAATTTGGGTCCCATTATCTGAAGCGCGAATTCTACTTCGATGTTCACCCCCCGTTAGGCAAGATGCTGGTCGGACTATCCGGGTATCTGGCTGGCTATAACGGCTCCTTCGAGTTTAAGTCCGGAGAACAATACCCTCAGGATGTCAATTACACCTTCATGCGTGTATTCAATGCTGCCTTTGGTGCAGCTTGCGTCCCTTTGGCATATTTTACCGCTCGCGAGCTCGGTTTTCGCCGAGCCACTGTGTGGCTTATCAGCTTGATGGTACTATTTGAGAACTCGTATGCGACAATCTCGAGGTTCATTCTACTCGATTCTATGCTACTATGTTTCACTTTCACAACCACTCTATGCTGGGCGAAGTTCCATCGATTGCAGACGAATAGTTTTTCCCTCGAATGGTTCACATGGCTTTTTCTCACCGGCGTTAGCATTGGCTGTGTCTGCAGCGTCAAATGGGTTGGATTTTTTTGCACAGCGATCGTCGGGCTGTACACAGTTGAAGACCTATGGAACAAATTCGGCGACGTTAAGATGCGAAGGGTACGTTATGGTATATTTAATGACCAAGACCGTTGCTAAAAAATGACAGGCTGTGTTAGCGAACCACTTGCTGGCTCGCATTGCAGGCTTGATACTTCTGCCATGTATCGTCTACATCCTCTCGTTCTACGCCCATTTTTGGATCTTGGAAAATAGTGGCCCTGGTGACGCCCAAATGAGTTCACTCTTCCAGGCAAATCTTAAGGGGACTGAAGTTGGGCAGGACAGTCCTCTTGAAGTTGCTTTTGGCTCGAGGGTTACCCTGAAAAACATGGGCTACGGTGGTGGCCTGTTGCATTCGCATGTTCAAACTTATCCTGAAGGATCTGCTCAACAGCAAGTCACATGTTACCACCATAAAGACGCGAACAATGACTGGTTTATCTACCCCAATCGACAGGATATGGAGTATGATGCCAATGGCCCACTGAGGTTTATCGGCGACGGCGATGTGGTACGCTTAATTCATGGGCAAACAGGCCGAAATCTACACTCGCATGCGATCCCAGCGCCAGTAACTAAAGGCCACTACGAAGTATCCTGCTATGGCAACATTACTATTGGAGACGACAAAGATCATTGGGCAATTGAAGTTGTTGACGATGTCGCTTCCAAGGACAGGAGTAGAGTCCGAACCCTTACCACGGCGTTTCGCCTGAAGCACCCTGTCCTAGGTTGCTACCTGAGGGCTGGAAATGTGAATCTCCCACAGTGGGGCTTCAAGCAGATTGAAACTACCTGTGTCAAGGAAAATAAGCCCAATGATGTGTATACGCACTGGAATGTCGAGTCCCATTACAACGAGAGACGTAAGCACTGTCCCCCTTTTCTGTCATCTGCCCGTCGTGGCGCTCGGTTTACTTACTCTTATTTTAGTTCCACCGGGAGATCCTGGCTCTTACAAGTCGCCATTCTGGAAAGACTTCATTCATTTGAATGTCGCCATGATGACATCCAACAACGCCCTGGTCCCTGATCCAGACAAGCAGGACGATCTCGCCTCAAAGTTCTGGCAGTGGCCAATTTTGAACGTTGGTCTCCGCATGTGTTCCTGGGATGATACCACTGTCAAATACTATCTTCTAGGAAACCCTTTCGTATACTGGGGCAGTAGTGCCAGTCTCGCTGCCTTCGGACTTCTAGTTTTCTGGTACCTTGTGCGCTGGCAGCGAGGCTACAATGAGCTCACACAAGCTGAAATTGACCATATACATTACTCAGGATTATATCCGGTTGTGGGGTGGATCCTGCATTACTTACCTTTCGTGGTTATGGCACGGGTGACCTATGTTCATCATTACTATCCGGCTCTGTATTACGCCATACTTACATTTGGGTTCTGTGTCGATTGGTTCACTCGGACGGCCAGTGATAAGTTACGCGTGGTATTATATACAGTGTTGTATATTGTGATATTCGGGTTGTTCTTATACTTCCGTGTTGTGGTATTTGGTATTGAGGGCCCAAGCCAGAATTGGAAGCATCTAAACTGGCTGAGTGGGTGGAAAATTGGTAATTGAGGTTCAATCTTCCCATCACACCAAAATGTCGACCTTCTTCCTAGGACCTACTGGCCTGCTCCATTGCTCCATCATTTTTTGATTTAACATGTCCACTAGGGCGCCTGCTCATTTACTTGAGCAACCGAATCTATGTTGTATTTCAACCACAATTCATGGGAGAAGCCTCCTTCCGTCTCAGATCTCTTGGAGACATCCTTGAGCAATCTGTTCTTTTATTTGTGGATGTAGTTTGCCAGACATGTAGAATACGTGGCTGAGCTACTTTCCCCTGCTTGTTTAGAACTTAGAATATTTAGGTGTGAGATGAGCTTTTATTGTGTAAGTCACACGACCCGCCTAGTTTGTTGTCCAGATGGTACCCGTATAGCCATTAGCAACAACCACCAACGACACCATTTCCACTGGTGCGCATTGCATCGTTCAGGCCCAGGGTAACGGTCCTAGGGGCGCCACGATTCGGTCCACCGGTAGCGCCAAAGCCCTTGACGCCGCTGCGGCGATCGTGTAGGTCGTATTTACCGGCTTCAATATTGTGGTAGATCTTGTCAGCTACCTCGAGAAACGCACATTCGACGTTATCGCCAGATTTTGCACTAGTTTCAACATAATTTGCAACATTATTCTGGCGGCACCACTCTTCGGCTTCCTGCCTGGTCACCCTTCTCTGATTCGAGGTCGAACCGTCATCTGCCAGATCGCTCTTGTTTCCAACCAAAATAATCACAATCCCGTCTTCGGCGATTTGCCGTAGATCCTGAAGCCACTGTGTACAAGATAAGAAAGTGGAAGGCCTGGTGATGTCGAAGACTAAAAGTGCACCAGAAGCACCGCGGAAGTAAGAACGGGTTATGGATTTGTATGTTTCTTGACCAGCCGTATCCCAGAGAGAGAGTTTCATTCTCTTTTGACACTCGACGACCTTGCGCGGAGGACTGGGCAGTCCAGTGACAGCAGATTGTCCCGAAGCAGCGGCGGATGTCTGGGAAGGAGGTGACGAGACAGACGATGATGTTGGAGATCTTCGAGCATGGGAGTCTAGTCTCAGTTCAAGACTTTTTGATGCGGGCGGTCCAACTGGGACGATGCGCGAACCAAACTCCACGCCGATCGTGACATCGTGGGAGGATGAAAAGCGACCTTCACAGAGTCGAATTGTTAACTAGATAGGGTACTGTCTGTCAGAGCCATCCTAGCTGAGGTCACTGTCCTTGAAACTCACGCTGGATTTCCCAGTTCCAGAGTCGCCAATGCAGACGAGCTTAGCGATGTAGTCCCATGGCTGTGACATGAGTATAGTAGAGCGACGCAGCTCGATGATCAAGTAGAGGAGCTTGTTTTCTGAGGTTCTATGATGTCCGGCAGATCAGACTCGTGAGGTCATACTCCAGCCCCAGCTGTTGGGAGGAGCCCATCCAAGGTTTGGTTCTTTGGGGGCCGTCAGCTAAGATTGCGACGCACACTTAGAAAACTTTCCCTTGCGATTGCGGATCAGAAATCGTAAGATTGCCTAGGATGGATGTGTTCGTTGGCTTGGGTTGGACCTTTGAGGAAAACGCGTTATTTGGACTTGCGTGCCTAGGCACCGTATTGCGGATCCGGACTAGCACTAAAAAGTTAATGCCTATCAATACTACGTAGCAATATTGTAGTGGGTTGTTACTATGGTGGGTACTGGCTAACTGGAAATCGAGAAGCCCACTCGTACGCTAATTTCAAGCTACAGTTCCGAGGTCAAAACTGTCGGAAGGTATGTATCTCTGGTGATGGCTTAATTTCAAGCCCGACGGACAGAGATTTCTTCATATTTGCTAGGTATCAGTCACAAGGTAACTGATTTTGTCTGAGTTGACTTCCCGTTTACTCTTAGTTAATTCAATTAGTTGACTAACTGAGTTAGTTAGTTAGTTACTCCAGTGCTGAGTCATCTGTTACCATGACCTTGCCCATATGACGCTGGCTGGTTGTAAGCTACATCAGCGGCCAACCCTCTTCCTCACGGTACACCAAAACCTCTCAGGCGGGCTGCCTCTCCTTCCTTAGTCCTCCTTTGATACTCATACACCTGTAATCAAAATCACGAGGCTCCTGTTTGAGATCTTTCCTTTCTCCTCTACGGAGTACCTGCTATGTAGTTCTTTCTCAACAAGTCCATTGTGATTTGCGAGTCAAGAACTCAGAGGAGCTCACCGCTACATTCTCGGCGTCCTTATCAGGGAGTGTGATATATGACCCAGTACTTTACTCACTTTTCGGCACCAAGCAACAAGAACGATCAGGAAAGTGGCAGAGATAAGAGGTTCAAAGTCGGCCAAAGGTTTTAAACACAATGTTCTCTGAATGTATGATTCCCTGTTAAATGCTAGAAGGTATCCTATGCTACGTTTTGAGGGTACCCATCTTAATAACATGCTCAGACGCCTCTCGATTCCTCGCACAATCGCAGTCCCGGTTGGTAGTTCATTACGACGATGCCCGCCGAAAAGGCCATGAACGCTTGATTCAGCCGCCAGGAAATTCACGATCTCTTTCGTCACGGTCCTTTTTACAGCGAGCGGCCGTTGATCCGTATCAAACAGCCACCTCGCAATTTTCCAATCTCGCTCCGGGCTCGCGTAATCCGGTTCACCAAGCGCCTTTGTTCTACAGTGCCACAGATGAATTCCGAGAGGAGGACGATGAAACCGAACACGAGCGGGAAATTGCAGATTTCTATGCCTTGCAGAAATCACGACGACATTTTGGCATCAACCATCTGATGGACTCTTCGGGAAATGATGAAGACGGTAGATTCCTTTCCAGCCCAGAAGAGTCCGTGCCGCAACAACTCACTCGGACAGTCTCCAAGGGCAAGGGTATTTGGAGCTCATGGCGCGAAGGCAGTTTTGACGATAATGCACCAAATCCACAGATCTTCAACAACGGCCTGTCCGCTGAGCCTAGAGAGGAAATACAAACGAAACGGATGAGCTTCCAAAGAGGCGAGAATCTCGTTGATGTTCGCTTGGAGGACACAGTTATATCGGACGCCCATTCCGAGGAAGCTACGCCTCCGGAATTAGGCGATGACACCCCGCCCTCGATCCAGCGATTTCGGGAAAAATCTGGGCCTCGAATGAATAGACTTGGAATAAGTTCATCCACCCTGCCACCAGGGCCAGACAACGCCGAGGCGCAGGCGCTCTTCCAAGGTGAGAGCTCACCAGCTTCATACCAAGAGTCGATCGTATCGGTTAGGGTCGGCTCACCTGTCTATGACGCTTTCTGGGGCCAACTATTTTTGATATCCATCGCTTGCCTCTTTGCCACTTCGTTCCTTATTTATCTTCATACTTCTCCACCCTCTGACCTACCTAAATTGGGCGATGCAGTATACTCGACTATCCACAACTCGTTCTTCAGGTTGGCAATTTTTACTCTGGTCTCGATATCTATATCTCTACTTTGGCTCGCATTGCTACGGTCATATGTACGCGTCCTAGTCTATGTTATCATATTCGTCGTACCGGCCATTTTGTATTCCTTCTCACTCTATCCTTTCATCTCGAGTTTTCGTGGCGCCTGGCATGGGTCGAGCATCCAAGACAAAGTCATGAGATGGGGGTCAGCTATTCCTTTCGTGATAGCCAGTGCTTGGATCTATAACATCACTCGCAGCCGTCGTGCTATAGGCCGAGCAGTGGGCATACTGGAATTTGCCTGCCGCATCCTTGCCGCAAACATCGAGCTTCTGGTTCTTGGCTTGGGTGTCCTTTTGCTCATTGTCGTGTGGACGTGGGGTTGGATGCTCATGTTCACACGCGTGTTTCTAACGGGACACACCTCAGGATCTATGCTTGTTTTTATGGATCCGAGCAGTTGGTGGTTAGGAGTCTATTATGTACTGATCTACCTGTGGTCTCTGGGAGTCATCTCTGGTATTCAACGTACGATCACAGCTGCAACAGTGAGTCAGTGGTATTTTCACAGATTCAGTACGCCCGCTCCAACATCCAGACAGATCATACAAGCCGCCGCGTATCATTGCCTCACAACATCTTTTGGCACAGCTTGCTTGTCTAGCCTTCTGGTCTTGCTAATTCGGCTTCCACTTCTGCTGCTCCCTAACCGGATCTCTTCTGTTTTTAGTCTTTGTGCCTACTCCCTTGTTCCGACTCCATTGGCCGTTATCACAAATCCTCTTGCCCTCACTTATGCTGCAATTCATTCTCAGCCACTTGCTGTATCAGCCCGTGGTCTGATGCAGATGACAAATCTGGCGCCATCAGCAGCCATGACACCTTTGCATCCACGGTCATTTACTTGGTCTCGCGAACACTGCGCACCCCTTGTCTCATACCGGCTATCTAAACTTATCCTTCATGCTGCTCGCCTTATGATGTCACTGGCTCTTGGTTTCGGAGGCTGGGTTAGTACTGCGCGGAACTTCCGCGTGCCCAGTGAAAATGGCGCGATTCATGGGAGTCTCTATGCCTACATGATAGGGTTGATTGCTGGAGCGATTGGCTGGAGTATCTTGGGAGCCGTCGAGAGTGTCATTGCTGATATTGTCGATGCGTCTGTCATCTGCTGGAGCAGTGAAGTTGGTACCTATGGACGGGAGGCCAGATATTGTCGGGAAGCTGGCTGGCTCTTTGGCCAAGAACCTATTCCCTCGGTCAGCTATACAGTTTCTAGCGAACCATGATCCACTGACCTCATACAATTCTGCGTGCGGGGCACAGGTCATCCAAAACATTTATATGCGATAATCATGTGGTACATATGATACCAACATGTCCTTTCTCGTGGTACCTCGGTCATCTTAGACAATCGCAGATAAGAAATGATTTCCATAACCCGACTTACCTGGTACTTTGTGTTTGTTTTATATCGTATCGTGCAATCTTGTTACAGTCATATAATTCTGCTATCTCCACTTCCCGTGCACTGTCCTGCTTCTTAGTGAATTTTCTCTCTCGGATTTATCGCATAGATTTGCAAATTTCATTGTGCTGTCTTTAGTAATTTATACTAAACATCACGAGCCATACCAATATTAATCTCAAAACATAGGGCTAGGAGTGAACCACAGCTGAAAGCAGTGCAACGAAGAGGACAAGAAATGTCACGGTAATTCTTATGGTAGTTTTATTCTATAAGGGTTGAATAGCTCTCTTACTACGTGTGCACTAGATGTGGGGATGCCAAGGTAAAGCACAGTCACAATTGTTGGGAGTAGATCATGATTTAGAAAAGGGCAAAGAGGTGCAACTCAGACACATGACAAGGTAGGTTGGTATCATAAAAGAAGAATTGGCAGCAAGCTCCTGCATACCACCTCAGAGCGCTCAAAAGCCAAGGTGGAAGGTGCAAAGGGAGCAATTAAAATCCAGCTGAGCTAAGCATCAAGTCTACTGCTCCACCCAATGCCTTCCTTCGTGCACCACTCTTTCAAAATTGCGCAACTGAATTTGATAATCTCCGAAGGTGTACTGGTTTTTCTCAACGGTAGAAAGTACTCGATGGATAAGTCACCAGCTTTTGAAAGTTGCTTCCCCTGCTCCGAGAAATTCTTTGATCGATTGGACCATGTGGCAGGGAATTCACTAGCAAGGACGTTCTCAGAAAGACCGCGTGAGCCCTCCAACCATAGCTTTTGAGACTCTCGGTAACACTCAGGAAGTCGATGCTTCAGCTCGTTGAATTCCCTTCGGGCTTTCCTATACTCGTCCAGTGCAACCGCTGTCCCGTCGCTGCCCAATGTAGAAATAGCAGTATGCTCTTCAGGTACAGCTGTAACTGCAAGTCTTTCCAAATCAAGTGCATGGATTGCATCATACGAGACAGCACCAAGTATGAGACATAGGCTGTGCAATCGGGGATAGGGTGCACTATTTTTCTTCACCACGCGCCAATAGGCAAGAATGGACAGCCATGAAGAAGAATCGGCCACTTGGCGACTTAGAGCCTTGAAGTGGTCATCTGCGACAAAAGCCAGGATGAAGCATATGATAGCTTCCACAGCCGTGGCAACCGCGAGTTTTTCATCGACAACAGTCGCGTTATCTTTAGCTGTATGACGTTCCGCGGCATGCTTCAGTTCTCGGCCAAGGTTCCCATATTTCTGGTATTGCTCCTTCCACGCCCGACGCTCACATTGCCGAGATGCAGCGCTACCTGTTTGAGGAGATGGTGGTTTGGTAGGTGTCGGCCATTCTGCTGTATGTTTCACTCCGGATTGGATGGGCATTCCCTCGCCAGTACCTCCAGGCACTTCATATTGACCAGAACAGCTAGAACTTTTGCCAGACGTTGACTGCATCTGCTTTGACCTATCCTGCAGGAGCTGTTTGGCATGCGGGCTCGGAAATTTGGGTGACTGGGGCTGATCAATAATGATAGGGGGTTTTGACTCTTTCGAGCATTCTTTCGAAGACATATTTGCCGTGTCATTCTTGACTTTAAAATCGTTGCGAGATAACTTGCTGCCATTCTCTGCACGCTCAGATGCCGTAGCCTTCGCTACAGCTTGTCCAGATATTGTAGCATGAGAAATATCAACACTTCTTACGGGTGAGCTTGATGTACCTATCTTCCTCTTACCGGAGAACTTTAGAAGGGCTTCAACGCGCTTCCTGTTCGCTCTGCCATACCTCAATCTGACGATAAACTTCGTTCTGGCATGACTTGAGTGGTAACTCGTTCGTGTATCCACTGAATTCATTACAGCGTCCTTGGGTAGGTGTAGAGAGCCAACTTTTGTAGTTGTAGTTCTAGATGAACCAACGTCCGAAGGTTCTTGAAGGACACTCGATCTTCTAATGGAACCAGGGTTCAATGTTTTGTTTTGCCGGCTGGAAATGGGTGACAAGCTCATGTGGGTAAAGCCACGAACAGCAGGTTTGGCTTTCTGCAAATTCGAAGCATCAATATTTGACACATCTGGGCGCTGCAAGGAGTCTAAAGACACAGAATCCACATTTTGCATCGACAACTCTTTCTCCAGATCCGGTGGAAGTGTTGGAGATAGAAGTCGAGGCAGTCTCGGGCTGCTTGAGACTGGGGGCAAAGTCGGTGATAGGAGAGCAGGAAGTCCATTGCTCCGCAGTCGTCCCACTTTGGTGGGTTCTACTGTAGGATCAGTAGACAATTTGGTTTTTTTAAAGGAGACATGGCCCTTCCCAGTTGATTTCATTGGCTCAACATCGGCTTCAAACGGATGTTTGCGATCCATATTCTTGTCACCAGGCGAGGATTGCACGTTCCCTGGAGCCGCCCTGTCTACCGGTCCCTGTATATCGTCAACGAAACCACTGGCTTTGTTGGTTGATTGGCTTCCATTGAGCGTTTGAGCGGTCGATGATTGGGAAGGGGCTTCTTGATTGACAGGGGAGCCAATTGCGCCTGACTTTCTCCTGTTTTTGTAATCATTTAGGCTTATTTTCTTCTTCAGGGAACTATAAGATGGTGTGCTAGCTGCACTCTGAGGCCCGGATTGCTGATCGGACATCACGTTTCCTGCACTGTCAGACCAATCGCCCACAGCGGCTAACAAGGATTCTTCGTCGTGATGAGTCAAAAAAGTCATGTATTGGAGTTGCTGTTCCTCTGGCGTAAAAGGGCCGTCATCACTCACCGCCCAGTTGTTGACAAAGCGCCCTCCAAGACGGAAAGGCACATCAGTCGGGACAGTAAGGAGGAAGGGGTAAAGTGGAAGGACTTGATCTTTAAGTCGCTTCAATCGCCGATCAATGGAGTCTTGATCTATATTGCATCTGTGTTCGCTCGCTTTCTTGGTTCCTCTCGATTCGGCGTTCGCGGGGCGACGAAAATGCTCTCCAGACATGGCAGTCCGTCAAATGGACCTATGTGTGGGAGATTGACAGCAGCTAAAGCAAGCATGCAATTCCTTGTAAGAAGGTCTCCACCCACACTTGAGCTTCCTAGCTCCAACACCCTTCTTTGCTGGCTTCTTTGAGATGGCTGTGCGTTTGCATGTGTTATTTGCGATCTGGATTCCAATGGTGTTGAACATCCGAGCAGCGTTATCGCATTCGGTCTGGTGTCGTGATTCCGGTTAGCTTCTCATCAGTTCGTGCTCGATCTATATAGTGCCCCACGCCTTGATCTGATCCTTGGGTCTCCTTCGAAATCCCGGCGTCCCCTTCAGCCGCGCATAGCCAGCTACCGTGGCAGAGCCTGTTCAACAATATTCAGTCACAGACCCTGCGGTCCACAGTAGTAATACTTCCTCTATGCAGATGAATTTTCAGGAGTTTCGGCTGCCCTGGACACGAGGTGGGTTGCCGACTAGAAGCCGATGCCTAATATACTGCACTATCGAGCGCCCAAGCAAATGCCGAACCTATGGCTGTAGTATCTGGCCATAAGGATAGAAAAGGAACCCCAAGCCCAAGAATTAGGATAATAGATGTCCCTAGGCTCACAGCGAAAGGGGAGTAGAGGGTCAATGTCGAAGATGAGCCGAACGGAGTTTGTTGTTCAGTGATAGGTTAGGTCAATGCTCCGGCCGGGTTCTAAGCGGAGCCGCTTGGCAGTAACTTGATGGGCGCGCGGAGGGTGTATGGTGCAGTACTCTCCGTACTCCGTCCGTATAACTACCAGTACATAAATCAGTTCTCGGCTCTGATTCACAAGAATTATTCAGATATCGACTTCTTGTTTGCCATCAATTCCTTGTTGTATCTTCTTGAAACCTTCGCTTTCCATGATCTTTTCTTGCTGTCCGAACTCTCAACGCAGACCTTAACTTATGTAGATGTTTGTGGAGTTCTTGGCAAAGGTAGTCCGTACAGGCCAGTTGAAATCAGATTCGTTGGTAAGAGGTTACCGTTTGACCTCGTACACACTGTACAAATACATAAAGACCACTATGAACGGTCGGAAGGAGAGAATTTATTCCGCCAGAACGCTCGAAAATGCGCCTGCTGGCCTAGTCTGGACACTTCGTTAACTTCCTTGGGTGTCAACTCGAAGGCAAGTGCACGCAAGTAGCTGCTCAGGCGGGATTCTTTACTACTGGTCGTAATTGCCACGGAACCACAATCCATAACCCATCTCAACAAGATCTCTCCCTCAGTGACCGCATACTTTTTGGCCAGACCGGACAACATCTGATCAAGGGGACCGCCCCTGGCGCGATTGATCGGAGTCAAGGGACCATAGCTAGCGGTTGTAACCCCTCTGTCTCGATGAAATTCTAGCAAACTACCATGTTGAAGGTAAGGATGGAACTCGACCTGGTTGATCGACGGAGGCGTTGTGGCTGTACCCAAGATGGCTTCAAGGTGCTCCTGGAGAAAATTGGAAACTCCTATGGACCGGGCTTTGCCAGCGGCCTTGACCCGTTCCATGGCAGCCCAAGCTGTCTGTAGATCACCATCGGACTCGGCAAAGAACGGCGAATGGATCAAGTATCTTTTTCTCGCCCATAAATACTTCACGAGTTTTAATGCACAGGATCTAGGTACGGTATACTTACAAATCGACGTAGCTGAGTTGGAGCTTCCGAAGACTCAGATCGATGGCCCCCGGGATGTCAGCGATGTTGGTATTCACCTTCGTCGTCACAAATAGGTCTTCCCGATCAACGCCACTTTCTTTGATGGCAAGACCCATCTCAGGCTCTGTACCATAGACCTCAGCCCCATCAAGGTGACGGTATCCCAATCGAATAGCCGTTTTTATGGAATCGACAAGTTCGCGATCTATACTCTCATCCGTTGCCTTCTTATACCAGGCAGTCCCACTGCCGTACCCAAGCTGTTATGATCATTAGTATTTAATGAGCCGGAAGACACTGCCGGTAAAAAGAGGCGTCGAGACACGCGACGGAGAGAAAGGCATGGAGCAACTTACCAGTGGAATGTTTATCCCATCACTCAATCTGACAAAGGGAAAGTTCCGGGCTGTGGACGACATTGGGCATACGTATGCTATCAATCAAGAGCTGTGATTTGTGAAAGTAAATCAATGTACAGGCCTTTCAGAAAAAAAACCCCAAACTACTCATATATAGTAAGCACGTATGAGGAGTCTGAAGGTTTGACGTCATCTTTAGATATGCGGTCAAGTTTCCGAACCTTAGCGGAGAGGCGCTAAGTTGCTCCGCAGACCTTACAAGATCTCATCATTACCTATACCAAGTTTCCGAATGAGACACAATATAGAAGCTCGTATCGGCTCACTCTTGATGAGTAGTCCGCACCACAACTCTCATGGTCACCATCAATGCTCGCCTAGCATATCCCTACGTTAAGTTAGCATTCTTCCGCAGAGTGCGTACAGGGTTGTGGATGCCTACTAGGCGTTTTCACCACATGGCTTCATCATTGCAGAAATCCGGCGAAGGGCTTTCGCTGCGCGAGCTTTTCAAGTCCAGTGTCTTCACATCCAAGCTTCCTGCCGACCCTGCGTTTGAAACACCAGAAATATCGCATCGAGCTCCTCGTGAGGCTCTGGGACCGCGCTTAGTAAGAGGTGCGCTTTACACGTTTGTGAGGCCCGAGCCAGCAGAGGAGTATGAGATTCTGGGGGTAAGCCCGAAAGCCTTGGATGATCTTGGACTCGCAGCTAGTGAAGCAACAACACGAGAATTCCATGCCCTGGTTTCCGGAAATGAATTTCCATGGGACCAATCTAAGGGTGGAATATATCCTTGGGCACAATGCTATGGAGGTAAGTCATGCCATACTCACACCGTTTTCACATATAGCAATCATGGGAGGCAACTGAATAACATTTTGAAGGGTGGCAATTGTACGTTACAGGATTCGTGGATTGGTAGCCCTATGCATCCTACTGACAAATGGTAGTGGCTCATGGGCTGGTCAACTAGGGGACGGGGTGCGTGGCACTTGGCCGCAATTGAACCTAATATATGTATTGAATTGACATTGAGCAGCGCGCTATAAGCCTCTTTGAGAGCACTAATCCATACACGAACATTCGTTATGAGCTGCAGTTGAAAGGAGCTGGACGGACGCCCTACTCACGCTTCGCTGATGGCAAAGCTGTGCTTCGGTCGAGCATCCGAGAATACATTGTCTCTGAAGGTGGTTCCCCGAAGAAATGCTATACTGGCGGAAACTAATTGCTCCTTAAGCTCTTTCGGCACTCGGTATTCCAACGACCCGGGCCTTAGCCATTACTTTATTGCCGCGATCGAAAGTGTTGCGGGAGCACATTGAACCGGGAGCTGTTGTAACTCGATTTGCAGAATCTTGGCTCCGTATTGGCACTTTTGATCTATTGCGTGCACGTGGAGACCGTGACCTGATTCGAAAGCTGGCGACATATGTCGCCGAAGAAGTTTTCCATGGATGGGAGACTCTCCCTTCTGTTGCGTACTCAGATAATGGTCAATCCTCGCCTGCCATGGATAGCACATCCGGGAATATTTCAAAAAACGAAGTGGAGGAAAATCAAGGTTTGCAAGAAAACAGGTTCACGAGGCTTTATCGAGAGATTGCACGCCGCAACGCTAAGACCGTTGCTGCCTGGCAAGCCTATGGCTTCATGAACGGTGTTCTAAATACGGACAACACCTCGATTTGCGGCTTGTCGATGGATTTTGGCCCTTTTGCATTTATGGATAACTTTGATCCCCACTACACGCCCAATCACGATGATCACCTACTGAGATATTCTTATAAGAATCAGCCTAGTATCATCTGGTGGAATCTGGTCAGACTTGGTGAATCCCTCGGGGAACTTATGGGGGCAGGAGACCGAGTGGATCATGAAGAGTTTGTGAAAGAAGGACTGACTGAGACCTCTGCACCGGCCGTAGTCGAACGTGCCGAAAAACTCATTGAACAAACAGGCAAGGAATTCAGGGCTGTATTCCTGAGTGAATACAAGCAACTTATGAGAGGGAGGTTGGGCCTTCAAACGGAGAAAGAGACAGATTTCCAGGATTTGTTTTCTGAAATGCTTGACATGATGGAAGCATTGGAGTTGGATTTTAACCATTTTTTCAGGAGACTTTCGAACATTCCACTCTCAGGTATCGAGACATCAGTTCAAAGAACGGAAATAGCGTCGATATTTTTCCATAATGAGGGATTTGACAGTGTCAGCTTAACAGAAGCAGCAGCTAAAGAACGCATTGCACACTGGCTTGAGATATGGAGAACTCGCGTCTTGGAAGACTGGGACACGGACAATGATGTAGCGAGGCAAACGTCAATGAAATCGGTAAATCCAAGCGTATGTTTCTCTTGAGAGTGAGAAGCGAGATGTTTGGAATATTGTGGTTGTCCGCTGACTTGAGTATCACATAGTTCCTACCACGTGGCTGGATACTTGACGAGGTCATTGACCGCGTGGAGCACAAGGGGGACCGAGATATACTTGGACAAGTGATGCAAATGGCGCTGAAGCCTTTTGCCGAAGATTGGGGTCTAGATAGAGAGGAGGAACGGCGGTTCTGCGGTGATGTTCCGAAATTCAAAAGAGCGATGATGTGCAGCTGTAGTTCATGAAAGGGAGTCTTTGTCTCTTGCGAATGATCGATATTCTATTCATACAATGGTAACCTTGTTTAGATATGTTTTAGGTGCCCTGCTCGTTCAGTTTCCTTCGAGCCTAAGATGCTACCTCAAAGCGAGAGTCTGCACCGCCTTCTAGATAGCAAGAGTAAAACTACGCAATGATGGAAACAATTCGACAATGACACTATGAAGGAAAGGTACACCTCGAATTGCCATGCGGTGAATATAAGGAAGTAGGAAGTTCGAATATGTCAGCAAGGATGTCCAAGATAAAGGAAGTTCTGTGGAATCGATGTAGATTGCTGTTAAGATAATTCCATTATCGTGGACAAAAGTCTTCCGCAGCACACAAGTGATTTCATCTATTTGTCCACCCGCAACACAATGCACCTATCAGTCCTCAATCTGACCTTACTGCCTTCAAGCAAGACAGCAGATCGTTCATACAACTCCATGGCGAAATAGATATCTTTCGGATATCGAACAGACCAGATATGGTTGATAGAGGTATTCAAAGCCTGGCTCGTATGCCATGTCAGAGATTGGCTTCAGGATAAAGCGGGAGAAATGAATTGCAGATCGTCAATGAGAGTGCGATCGAGGTGCATATTCCCGTGTCTGGTCCCATGCGAGACATCGTGACAGAAGACAAACAGTCCAGAGTGCATTCAAACTAGTTAGGGCAGGCAGCCTGAACGTGTCCAGGTTGCTTGCAGTTGTAACACACGCGTTCACCCTTGGCTTCGGTGGGGCAATCGCGGGAAACGTGACCAACTTCACCGCCTATGTGATCGTCAGTTTCGAAGCTGAGGTCGACTGAGCGGGATCATACTCACAGTTGTAGCACTTCTGGCCGTTAGTGCAGTCGCGAGCCATGTGGCCGAAGCCACCACAAGAGTAGCAAGTCTGCTGACGGCCGCCAAAGCCACCGCCATAGCTGCCACCCTGGGGACAGTTTCTCGCGATATGGCCGACCCGACCACACTTGTAGCACTCCTGACTACCACCAGCAGCGCCGTAGCTCTCGCCCGAGCCAGCCTGAGGACATTCGCGGGAAATGTGACCAGTGGCTCCACAACGATAGCATGATTTCTCCTTCGGGGCTACCGTACATTCACGACCTGCGATATGTCAGCCGGGTCCGCCAGGATCGAAGTATACTGCATCAGTGAACAACTTACTGACGTGTCCCTGACCTGAGATCGGGAAACCAACAAGTCAGATCAAATTTAAGCGCTCAACAACTTGGCAGCTTCCAGAGGCCAGTAGCCAATAGTCAAGATAACGAGAAGGGGAAGTGAATGCGAAAAGGTCTGTGGGAAAACTGACCACCACAGTTGTAGCTGCAAAGTATTAATAAGTGATTTTGTTTCAGCCAGGAACGTGATAATCCTCACCAAGTAGGGGTACCCTTCTTGGGGCAATCACGGGCCTAAGAATAGTCAGACTCCTTCAACGACAATGCCACGGCACAGGCCGACAGGGACGAGCTATGATGCTCTCCGCCAACTTGTTCTGGGAGTAGGCGATGTTTACCTGATGCGAGGCATCGCCGCCTAAATTGCAAAAAGAAAAAAAAAAGTTAGTGTCTATATACCCAGGTGTGCATGGTAAAATGATTTGTTCACTCTCTGGAGGAGCTCTGTGCAAGTTGCTGAGGCCAGATCCGCGCCTCAAGCGTCCCGGGAAAGAGAGATTGCAATATGTACTCGATTCCAATGGGACTAGAAACAAGAGAAGAGACTTGTGCGACCGGGGAAAACTTCAGATTCTGGATGCAAATATGACTTGGCAGCCAGGGAACAAGGTATTTTCTGGCTTGAGCTTCAGGACTCCAGGACTCTGTAGAGGCCAAGAGAACTGCTAGCCAGAATCGCGCCCTCGAATAATGTTTTGTTTGTTTCAAGAATTGTGTAGACTCACAGTTGAAGCATCCACGACCTCCAGCTTGGAAACTCATATTGTCTTGTGGAGGAAAATAGCTGGTTTGAGAGGGGCTGAGGGAACGAAAGAGGGGAAGAATGGCGGTGATTTTGGGAATTTTTTTTTGTGAGGATGGATGGAGGTTGAGGGGAAAGTCTCGGCGATCAGAAATTTAGTGGTAATAATGAGCAGGAAGAGAGGAGTCACCCTAATTAATGCAGACCATAAAACAGAGATATGCTAAATCGGTGCGGGGGAACCTGCAGGGCTTTAACACTAAGAACCGCCGCAGTGCCGCACACAACGCCAAGGAACGAGGACACTTGACAAATAGCCTCTTTTTCTCTCTGCTTGGATTTCACTTACAATTGCGGTGTAATTCAGTACTAGCTGAACAAATACAGAAGGGCATGTGGTGGTAATAGTAGAAGAAAGAGGATTCATAATTAGTGTGTCAATAAGGGGGAGGGCCTCACTCATAGATCAAAACAATCCCCCACTCATATCTCTCTCCTCCACCATATTCTCAGCGCCACACGATACCTGTCTATGGATTGACCACTTTGACTCATCAGGCTTCTCTAGCGAGGCCATCCTGATGAGGCTGGGGTCAGTTGGCAGCACTGAGGAATCTCTGCCTACTCATAAGGAAAGCGTGTTGTTACCAAGAGGCGCCTGAGCTTGTCAGTCAATCGTAGCCTCGCTTCATCCAGGGGAACGAAGGACTAAGACAGGAGGGTGAGCCGGAAGGTGAGCCGGACGCAGGGCCATCTGCTATGTTATATATCAAAACTACAAAAAGCCATACCTCCCAAGGTCCCCCTGAACCCCACCTCATTATAAATGAAGATCACATAAGTAAATGTTACTTGACAATTTCACCTACTATAAATGAAGCCTGCCGTGGATCTGAGCATTGAAGCACAAGTCTCCTTGACTGGAATCCCACTGGCTGGAAAACTCTCTATACGTAGAATTCTCGATCTTGGCCCACTCACGTGAAGTCATAACATTCCAGCATGTGCACGTCAAGTCCATTCCCACGCAGTAGGAGAACACATTGATCATCAAACCCAATAAAACCACTTATTTCAGGCATGTGGTACGGGAATCCTGTGGTTTGTAGCAGAGCATTGGCTTTTGTCGGAGAACTCGACCTGAGTTCACTGACATCACTCTGTCTATTTCCAGGACTAACTCGAATACTTTTTCCATATCTCCGCGCTCGTTGCCTCCCGAAAGCTGAGACTAGGGCTTCGAGTTCCCACACTCTTACCTCATCTCCCCTGGAGCTTACCGATACCGCCCTGCCACGATCACTCACTTGCACGGCCAACACTGAGGATGTATGACCCCAGAGCCGCTGTGCACCTTTGACATACAAGCCCGCGGACGTGGAGACAACAAGGTACACGGTTAGAGTATTGTCCGTGTGGGACGTTATCAAGTAAGGGTGCGAATAAGAGACGGAAGTTGGGGTTTCCTGATGATGTATAGCGGGTTCAGCCGGCCTCATGCACAATCCGCCCTTGGTATTTGTTGCACCCCACGCGCACGGCGTATCGATCCTCGAGTAAATCTGACCAAGTGGCGGACAAACTCCATACTGAGAATCCACGGTTGTTGTGAGCCGCGAGCACTTCTGCTGTAAATCACTCAGGCTGAAATGTAATTCTTGAATTCCCAAAGACCAACCGCAGCCGACATGGTAAAAGCTGTACACTATAGAAGATATGATATCAGAGCCTACCGAACGGATCGAGATCGACAGCGGCTCTAAGATGCTGTCTGCCTCGAGACATGATAATAAAGCCGGTTCCTTGGGTAGCAAGCGGCTACGCGCATCGGATTCGGTCGTGATCTTGAAAAGTGACAGAGCTTTATGGTCGGATGCCAAGAGGATGTAGGGGTAAAGCGAGGCTATCGTAGTAATGCTGCCGCTCGTCGATCCAGCGCAAGTGGTGCGGAATTCCAGTGCTGATGCAGCAATGTCCAGGTTATATATCCCGAAGTGACCGTCTTCGAATCCAACAACAACCTCGATTGTATTCGGGCGAGAACCAACCATTGCCGTCATTGCTGTGGGCAAGGCAGCTAGAGGCGTTCGAAGTTTCGCCAAAGAAATCTCTGCGAGGTAGTACGCGGGAATCTTGGTAGACTTAGCTCGAAGCCAGTTGTCCCGGTCGACAGTGAAAATAATACCAGCACAAAAAGCGGCCAACGCTGATCGACCATATGGGTGAGAGAACTCGAGTTCGGTGACACGACAGATTCCTTTAGACCAATTGTGTCTAAGACGGTATTGGCCCTTCCAATCCATAGACCTTCCTTCATCTGCAAAGTGACCATGATCCAGCCATGTTGACACCTTAGGAGAATATCTGACCTCTGGATGGGAGAATACGGTACGCCTCACGTTTGCTAATCGAGGTCGAATCCATCGGTGATAATAATGTCGCTTCCAAATTTCTGAGTCTTCTGCAAGCGCCTTGAACCGGCATGACAACCTTCATCATAAATTTTCGTCAGCTCAAGTTTTTACAGAGACGGGTTGAGCAAGACTAGAACGTACCGTTGACAGACTATCAAAGACGGGATTGGTAAGAATGATAATATGTGGAGTAGTATTTCATCGGAGAGAGAAGAGATTATATTGGGTTGGCGCCCACGTTTCGAGGGAAGGGGTGCTGGGTTTCCATCTTCGTAATGTCGTTTAGACATTTACCCAGTAATAGCCACGAAGCAAGCACTAAGTACTCGGGGCGAAAGATGAGATACAACAACGCAGGAATCGACAAATTAGTTCATGATTGCCAAAGCGCCATGCTGTACGCCTTTCAAATGGACATGGTTAGGGTAGCTAGTTAATTAACTACTGGTAAGTTACGCAGGCAGCTGGTTGAACAGATTAGTTAGCAACTTAGTTAACAATGAGATCAGCGCTTACTAAGGTCGAGCTTATGCGACCCAGAGAGATCATAAAACATCACGGAGGCATATCTTAAATTGCTTGGCAGATATTTGGCACTGTAAATCCAACCCCTATGTCCCTTTAATTCAAACACGTTGACTAACTGATTTGCTCATTCCAGTCATATTGTTATCCATAGTACATAAATCAGAGAATTTTACCATTCATGTGACCCTTCATTCGCAGATTGAATGGAGGCTATTAGGACGCTTCGATCTTCTCTCACTCGAGCACTAGAGAGCAGCTTCGATGAGGCTATCAGAAATGTGAAAGCCGAGATTTCCTACCACGATGCGAATACACAATCAGCTAAACAGAGGGCCACGAATGCCGAAAAAGAACGGAATAAGGCTATGGAAGAGTTGGACTCGCTGAAAGATGCCATCGCTCTCCTACGTGAAGAGCTACGCCTTACCGACTTTGAGTCCGAAGACGACAAGGTTTCTACGAAGAAGTTTCGGGACTTTGAAGCAAGATATGCCCCAAACCAGGTCTTACATCACCTCAGCCATGCCTCCGGTGGTGACATCACAGATATCAACCCGTACGCGATCAAAGCCGTTGCTGAAGCATATACGGCTCTATATGGGGAGACTCAGGAGCTTGTTATGGCCTCGTGCGAGCTCAGAAAACAAGTCAAACGATACAAGGGAAAGTTAAAGTTCTGGCAAAAGTGTCTCGAGCTTGATAAATTCACTTTGGTGCTCGAAGGCACAGCAATTGAGTTCAGATGCACTGGAAAGATCTCTATTGATACCCAGAGCAAGCCGCCGGCCGCAAACCCAGCCACTTCTGTTCCCGTGTCGGGCTTAGATGGTCATGGCATCGCGGATGAAACCGCGACCTCTCCACCAGAGGTCTTGGGAAGGAACCATCATGATAATAGTGATGCAGGTCATTGGGGCGCAAAGAACAGAAACTGGAGCAGATGCAACGGTTCGATTCGAATGTCACCAGCGCAGCCAACACTAACACAGTCGGGCCGGTCCGAAATTGAGAACGTTATTCCAACTGCCCAGGTTTCTACGTTGGGGATGAAAGCACCAGAGTCCGAGTCCATAACATCGCAAAATGCCCCGAAAACCTTTATGAACCAGTATTCAACCTTGATCACAGGTGTAAGAAGAGCGGCACTGAATTCTACCTGGGTCAAAGATGAAGATCTGTCTCAAGAACCGTTGCCCAAACTATCATCCGCGGTAAGAATTGTTGGCACCCAAGATCTAGACGAAGTGGGTAGTACTGTCGAAACCCCCAGAAAGAGGAGGAAAGTTCGAAATAGTGAAGTACAAGGCGATGCCTCGAGAACAAATACCCCAGCAATCAGTGAAGATAGTCAAGACGCAGATCCACCTCGGCCACTATTTTTCTCCTCTCCGAAACGACCTGTTGTGCTAGAATTTAGCAATGCCAACCCTGGAGGTGGAAGACGTGCTCGATCGCCAGAACAACCTCAAGAAGAAGCTCAAACGCGACCCGCGGGTGCCCACGTATCTTCAATCCTAGAAGATGGCGATGAGAGCTTCTCAAATCTACCTTCAAGGAAGTTGCACAGAACATCTGGGGCAGGAGCTTCAGGTCTCACCCTAGCCAGCGAAGCTACCACTAATCAGCGTCTGCAGGGTCTGCTCGAGGGGCAGTCCCCGGCTAAATTGGAATTGCAAACACTGCTAAGGGACTCGGGCGTTTCAGACAGGGCTCCCAAGCGTCCTTTCGCAATGATGGAAGAAATACCAACAGTAACTTCCAATCCCGATGGGTTTGAAATAACAGAAATGCCGCAAATAGCCCCAAACAATGGAGCTTCGAGAACCGCATCCGTCAATAATTCCCTGTTGCCTGCAAGGGACACCGCAGTTCACCCCGCAGGAGGTTCTCTAAGAGCACGGCCGGTTCAACATCTTGACCTCAAAGACTTCAAAATCAACCCGGACTTTAATCAAGGTTATGACTATGCTTTTCACAGCGTGGCTCACAAGAAGACTGAAGTGAATTGCGCCAAGGGGTGCACCCGTTACGATTGCTGTGGGAAGAAATTTCTAGGTTTGGCACAAATGAATGGCCTTCCAGCAGATGCAATGTGCTCCAGTCAGCAGCGCGAAATGAATGACCAGAGAATCCTTGAAGAGTTGCTTGGCGACAAAGAACACCTGATCAGTGAGTTGAGTGTAGAGGATCGGGATCATCTCTTACAAGAAGCAAAGGCGAGGCTGATAGCCAATGAATTTGGGAAACACAAGCAACAGCATCAACGTGCCGGGTCCCCGCCCGGGTTTTGGCGTACTGATATGCCTAGCACGCAAGAATTGGAACGCGACCACCAGGAAGCCAAGAGGCTCGAGAAAGACCTAGTGAAGGACAGGTATAGAGAAGCAACGCGGCCGGGAGGTGTCTGGAAATTTGCGGATGAGTGAGCAGGTGTGGTACATGATCATTGTGGAGCCTCCATACTCAGTCCATATACGTACATATCAAATCTAGTATCTTGGTCATCGGTGTTAAGTTACTCGGTAGCTTTTGTGCCAGATACTGTTCAAAGGCCATAATGCGACACCGTGCCAAGAATCCCGGGATTCAGCTGAACCTCGGCAGGCAGGGCGGTGATCAATGTATGATCCCTTGGCAGACGCGGCACACGTGCCTCATCTCCCGGGGATTGCCCACTGCCCTCCGCGGATGAACCTGATCTCTTCCTGTGAGCATAGCTCTCCAGCTGAGCCTGACTGCACCTAAAAACGGACTGCTTCCGCTCGCCGCTCTGAACATTTAGCGACACCATCCGTACTATTCTTCTCCCCTTCGTGGAGATGGACGCTACATGCAATACTGAGAGTGCCGCCTCTGCTGCCCTGCTACGACCATCAAGATGGTTGCTGTTGTACGAAGAATTTGTAACCAAGAACGCTAGCTCCGTAAGCCAGGTAGAGTCGGCGCTGAGATCTCTAACATATATCATTCCAGGTCAGGACCACTGGCCTGTTCAATTACAGTCTCCGGGGAGGAGAAAAGCTAATGTCTTCCAGGGCGATACCGAGACTCGGAAATAAGTTCGGAGTGTGGTATGTTGCCCCAGCATTAGTAGTGCCAGTCTGCAAAATCTGTCTAATTGCCTAACTTTGTGTGAATTGCCCAGTACATTCGGGAGTCCAGCTACTGTCCCTTTATCACAATGCTCTTGTTTCTCGAGTTGTTTCCAGATTACCGCCGACTATCCCGCGGCCGATACCGACTCCTCACACGCGATATACTAAATATTGGACGTCTCGCTCTTCGCTTTATCATAAAGTTGCACTTGCACTACAGATGGTCCAGTACACAGAACTGCTCTGGGAGATGATTGCCCGTCGACGTGGGGAGAAGATCCGTTGGCGCGTCGTCATCTTCATTGAAGCCATAAAGGCGGTCTGTCGTCTATTACTTCTTCGTCTTACAAAGTCCAGGCCATTGGTTACCCCCCCGCTGCCTGAGAGAGACATTGATCCTAGATCGCTAGAAAAAGTGGACAGCGATTGGAATGGGATGCAGACGCCCGTTAGCGAACGATCATCAGATTTAAGCTGGACAATGCCTCGGACGGGCTTATCTCTCCCGTCGCTGCCAGAATTAAATGATGTCTCCCATTTCCTGATATCCAAGGTCCTCACCGCCGACGACATCAAAGCCCCCAAGGCTCTATTGCATCGCGTTACTGGCCAAGGACAACTAGCTGAAGTACTATATATCCTTCGGCCAGTGGTCTACGCGCTAGCGTTGCAAAAATACAGCGAAGACAGGCATAGCTGGAGACCTTGGTTGGTTGGATTTGGCCTGGAATATGTATGCCGACGGCTTGCTAAGTCTGACTTTCGAGAAAGAGTTGCCGGCGGCCTTCGAGGACTGACTGGGCTTGAACGTGAGGAACTCAGAAAAAGAGGCTGGGCGATGGGTTGGTGGGCCATGCGGGGGGCTTTCTATACCAACTTGACCAGGTGCGTGTTCCGGGCCTACCCTTGCAGCGGCGGAAGAACACTAATGATTATAGACCTTGGCTACGCAATTTGACTGGGAAGATGAAGGGCAAGCCCCTGCTTGACTTGGTAGGCAGCGTCATTGACGACTACGAATACCTATGGGATAATTACTATTTTTCAAGTGCGACGTTGTGATCTTTCGTCCTTTCAGTTGCACTTGCAACTCCATTCAAATTTGTACTACTTATTGTCATGGCTGAGATTCATTTAAGACGGCTCTGTGATTGACTGGTCGTAATCCGTTTGCCCTTACTGACACGATCTCACCTGGTTTCCCCCCACATCTGATGTCTGCAGTCAGTGGTTTGTGGATGTTATCTCTTTTTGGGGTATCATGATGTATGTGAACCGGGTATTGAATTTGTCATTGTCGTCATAATCCTCGACTGATCCGAGGCATTGTATGCTATGTCATAGAATGTCTGTTGACCTCGACCCGTACCATTCTCGCAGTTCATGGTATAATTTGGTGTTGGCACCGGCGGATGTCAAGAGGAAGTCCTTTAGCAGTGAATAATCTTCCTCCGCCGGCCAGTCGACTTTCGACCCTCCCTTCAACTCCAACATCTCCTTTGCAGTTCCCCAGCTGAAACGACATTCGGTTCCCCACCCGAAGATAGGGTCCATATTGTTTCGAAGCCAGCCGACACATTTCGAGTCTGAGGGATATCCGCTACCCCAACTTTGAATGGTGGCCTTTAGAGAAGGCTCTTCAGTAGCACATCTTCTTGAGACCTCTTTGTGGCTTAGCTCCAGCGCAATATCCCTTGTCACTTTGGCTACAACACTTGCGGCGCTGACACAGGGATACAAGGAATCAGCCTTCTTAGCCACTGTTATCTTCAAGGAAGGGAAAAGTTTCTCCAATTTCTGTTGATATGTCACGGGATTCCCGATTGTATCAATGTAGACCTCCCCCACATTCATGCCTCTCTCCTCAATGATGCCTCGGATGATCTCGACCGTAGCATCCATTGCCTGGGCATTGAGATTGTAAGACCCAGCGCCTGGTCGCATCATGCCTGATGAGATGTCACGTGCTGATAGCAGCTTCGTAGCCCATCCGCAGCACTCAAAAAGCGGATTGCCAGGGGTGCACAACAGTCTCATTAGGTTCATGCGCACCCCGGGCGTAAGCACCTTGCTATCATCGAATCTGTATTCTCGAGAAAGAAGGGAATGGTGAAGCTGCTGCGGCAAAAAAAAGGCACTGTAAACCATCGGGCCTAGGACAGGACCGCGCCCCGCCTCGTCCACACCGAGGACGAGATAGTCGTCTTGTGATGGTTCATCCCCGGTAGTCGAGTTGGATGAAGCGAGGAAGGGTGGGCGTGGTGAAAAGTAGGAAAAGGATTCGCCAGATAGCATCTTAGTATGATCTATGCTGGGGGGTATGAAGTCGCCTGTGAAAGCCGAAGTTGAAGAAGCTTTTGGAGATAGGTCGCAGACATTATCTTGAGTGGATCCCCCCATCTTCTGCGTTCTGGGGTGTCAGTCAATTACGCGAGACGCGGGTCTTGACTGGGACAAAGATAGGCAAGCATTCAGAGCACAGTAAAGTTAAAGACTTGACTAGCCAAGGCAAGAAAGAAAGGGTGATGAGAATGAAATTGAAAGTGCTGTTGTGGTATCCTACCTAGGAAGCCCGAATATCTATCAACCGGCAACATGGGGACGCGTCCCAAACAGTTCAGGACTAGCGCGTGTCACACCTTCGCCGCCGCCTCCATGAATTCCAAACTCCCCACCGTAGCAGTCGGTGCCATTCCGACTTGGACGACTTGTCGCGCTTCAGAGTGCAGTATCTTTTTAACTGAGCTCCCCCATTTCAGGTACTCAAGGAGTTCCGTGCCGCGAAAATCTCAACCACGAAGTACACATCCGAAGCAACCGACGCGGATTCTTTTCACCCTGCCACAGTTCTTATTCTAGCCGCATACAGCTCCGAAGCTCCGCAGTGATGGCTTTCCGGGGGCCCTCGAAAGCTCGCGACTATGATTACGCCAACGTTGGAAAAGCCGGAAGGTAGATTTACACCTTGGAAATAAACTTGCTTCCCATTGCCTCTTTCTCAACTCCGTCCGCTGTCACTTTGACTTGCCTTCTGCTTCACTGGCTAATGCGAGCGAGCGGTACAGGCGCACAGGTATAATCCTGAAGGAAGGAAGGCGTGATGAATTCGGCATGGAAGAAGTCGATGGCATATTCTCCTCCCCCGAAAGCTCCCCGACGAGAGACAATGGGTTCGGCATCCGGAATGAAGCTTCAGTCGGCTCAGATGGCATGTCCATGGATGAGGGTTTGTAGACTCTTGATACACCTACATCATGCATGCTGACAGTGAGAAACTTATCTACGTAGGAACTAGCCCTGGCCCTGCAGAATATTTAAACAGCAGACGTGGCTCTTATCTACCTCCCCCTGTCGCACGATCGCCTATGAAAACTGGGCTCACAGGCTCCCCACGGCGAACGCCCGGTCTGCGGTCGTCGCATAGTCCACAGCGCAATCACCCCTCCTCCAGTCCTTCCGATGGAAAGGGGTTGGGAATCGCAAAGGGCGAATCATGGCGTGACATATCCCCTCTGACCAATCGTTCCGTGAACGCGACACCATCTATGAACCACCTGCACAGCGCGCGCATTAGCAAGAAGACTGAGATGGTCGCCCAACAGCTCATGAGCCAAGGTTACTCTGATAGTGATACTAGTATTCAGTCAAGTGGTGACGAAAATGCGGATGTGCTTGGACAGGAGCATGATGCAGTGGAAAGCATTCATGCCGACGAGGACGTCCTGACGCAGGACCCTATAGATGAGTTGAATTTGGATGAGGCACGACCCGAGTCCCCATTCATTCTTGCTCCCAAAGCGCGTACGAAAGGTCGACCGAAGGCTTCCTTCATGGCAAATGTGGATGGCACAAGACAGAAATTGCACAATCCGGACGCCAGTGATCTTTCTGATATAGTACAAGCAGATGCCACACAAAAACGCAAGCGCCCTGGCAGGCCCCCTAAGTCTCAGCACAGCACAGCTCATGATATGATTGAGCAGAGACTGATAAAGAAACCTAGAGTGAATGCTCAAATTAGCCGAAGATCGAGTTCATCTGGCGACGCTGAGCTGGATAAAGTGGTGGAAAACTATATTAATCGCACGGGGCCGTTGAAGGGTCGGAGCTTGTATGTCTTGAAGCGCGAAGCCCCGTCAGACGACACTGCTACGCACACCCGATCGGGCCGCGTCTCAGTAAGACCACTTGCTTACTGGAGAAACGAGCGATGTGTTTACGGTGACGGCGAGGCTATAGAAGGTCAAAGATTTCCATTGTCAACCATTAAGGAGATCATTCGCACAGAAGAGCTTGAGCCAGAACAATCCCACTCAGGCAAACGCCGCCCTTCGAAAAAGTCTCGAGCGAAGCAGAGTAGAGATGAAGACTCTGATGAGGATGCGGCTTATTTAGACCCGTGGGAAAAGAAAGGTGGGATTCTGCATGGTTATGTCAGAATGTGGGATTCGGAATCTCAGACGGCAGCAGAGTCGGACATCGTTGGTGGGTTCACTGCACTCTTCCCAGTCTTGTCAGGTTCAACATTAACTGACTTTACACGTAGATCTCGCATATGCCCCATCTGGAATGGAGACCAAAAGTGTCAAAGACTCGTCGTGGCGATTCGCTAAACTCATCAGTTCTCCCTTCATGGGTTCCGGGATCGTTGAGTTGCCGCCTGGCGGAGTCAAAAAACCCAAAAACTCTAAGAAAATGCATATGGTTTTCTACATTTGCAATGGACGCGTGCAGGTAGATGTCTCAGGGGTACGGTTCAGTGCGGGCAAAGGCTGTGTATTTCAAGTCCCCAGAGGTTGGTTGCGTTTAGACTACGTCCAACTTCCATCGGAAACTGACACATTTCTTAGGCAATTATTATAGCTTTGCGAATACGCACAATAAGGATGCACGATTATTTTTCACGCAAGGCTGTCTACCTGAAAATGACGACTCTGCCCCTGGCTCTGCGACAAAGGCCGGTATCATGGAAGCTGACTCGAGCACACCGACAGGGCGCTCCACAACTACTGGGAAAGGTAGGCCCAGGGGCAAGCAGAAAACCGGGCCCGGGCGCAAGGCGAAATGAGTCACCTGCGTGCTATGACCATTCTACTTCACCTGTTGAGGACTGCTCCGTTCAACTCCTCGCCTATCCGCACTATGCTTTGCTCGCCTTTCCACCGGAGTGTTGGCTTCTGAATTAGCAAGTATGTCACTTAATTGCTGGGATGATAAGGATATAGTTCGTCACCACATATCTCCCATTTCTTTGGCGCTGGGGCGTGTGAGTCCAGAATAATTGAGCTGCGATTACAAGCTTCATTGGAGTCTTATGCATCGGTTAGCGCAAGGTTGTAGTTTCATGTAGTGGCCATGCCAAATTACTATTTGTTAGATCTCCTCCATTTCGGCATCCAGATCATCCAAACCCAAGGGCGGAAAGTCTCCTACTTCCACTTTCTCGGGTTTGACAAAGACACCCGTCTTATTCGGGCAAACAAAGTATCTCTTTCCGCCAACACTCCCGTCGTTCTTGCCCAGTGGCTCGTCGAGCTCAATTCCTACCCAGACTGGAAAATCTGCGGAGTCTACTAATTCAAGGTCCACGCCAGGGAAGGGGATTGTCGGAACTGGCCCAACATAGCGAATTGTGCCGCGTCGAACATGTGGCGGAGAGGAGGGAAGGACAATGGCTCGATTGTTAACAACAATGCCTACCACGAACGCTTTGATCAGTGATTTGTCGTTTTATATCTCGAAGTTGGCAAGGGAAGACGATTTTCTTTCTTGTTGTTCTCATTGTGCTCACCTCTTTGTCCAACCTCTCCAATGTCTTTCAAAGCTTGGCTGCGCATCGCTTCTTCGGGTCTTGCAGCATTGGGGTCAAAGCGGCCAAGCTTCTGATTCTTTTTCCACGCCAAAACAGAATTCGAGAGCGCTTCGTATGTGGATGTCGGCAATACATACTTCTCGACGGACGACAGGTCTGTGAGATTAGGCCGCGAAGCCTGAGGGCGGTAATCATGGACCTTTGTAACGAATTCACTCATCAATGGACAATTCAAAGATAACGACTGTGTACACGGCCAGTTCGGAATGCCCTCAGAGGCGTCCCAGTCATTGGTTCTCAAACGGCGTGCAATTGATACGGGGAAAGAATGTATGGAGGGGAAGCAGGTGAGATCTTTGCAATGAGGATAGCGGACGGCTGTCGTACTCATGAATGCCCAGATCAGCCTGCAGATTCGATGCAAGAAGTATATCTTACCTCTATTTCGCAGCCTCTCATCAACCCCCAATCACCGATGATACTATTGTCATCTTCGACCCACTGATCTGGGCGCCCAGGTGACCTAAGGCGAAGACGCTGGCAGCCGGGCGGAACGCCAGTCATGGTCTCGAGCTTCGTCTTCAGCTGCATGACAGTCCATGTTGGAGTGACTCGGCGCTCCGTCAAGAAGCGTGGCTCAGCGCTAGAGCCTGTGCCAGGCGTAGTGATGACAACAGAAATATCCGCAGGGGTGGGTTGGAAAGCCATGACCGCTAGTTTGCGCAGCTTGGCAAAAGAACCTTCAATAGCCGTGTTGTCCTTCTCCCCGTGGGATAGTACTCAAAGTCCCTGGATTAGACGATAGATCAAGTCTGCGCCGTAAGTTAGATAACGAGTGATATGACAGAAAGTAAATGCGGGACCACAAGAATATTATGGTAGATTGGTTTTGATTCCTTTTTGGTGCCCGGGGACCGGAGAGGGGGAGGGGAAAGGAAAGGAAAGCGATGAGATTCTAATGCACCCTGTCTGGCCCTATTACTCCCAGTGGGTATGAAATCAATGCTGTCATACAAGGACATGCACATAGACATGTAAGTATATACCGGTGTACTCGTAGATATTTTTGAAGTGGGCGGGCTTGTTGATGGGGGCAGATTAAGTGACGCCATTTTTGGTTAGCTTGATACTCACATGCTTGATCAACACTTCAAGTAATCTGCCAGTTCAAGGCTCAGAGCTGGGTTCCAGTAATAGGGATAATTCCTACTAACAGCAAAGATCAGGATTCTTCTATTAGGTGCTTCTCGACTGTGCCAATACTGTTTGCATGATCCGAAAGGAGTTCACTCCCAACTTGTGTCTTTACTAACCATGTACTTACTGTACTGGCAGTGATATCTTAGTTGAATAGTTACACAAGTGTGAAAATATTAGTCACTATCATCAGGTGACTAGCTTGGCTAGCCTAATCTAGTTAGTTAGAACAGCTCCATTACTGTAAGTTAAGATAAGGCAATAATGAATAACTTACTATACGGTACTGGACAATCATGACGATACATGTTGAAGGACCTGAAAGCTGTCTTCCCGGGAAATTTCTTGTTCTGCTTGCCATCTCGAACGTCTCGGGTACTTTCTTCCATTCCTTCTTCTTAACATATTACACCACATTGGTTGAGTGGTCTTCTTGTAGAAGTGTTACTCATACCACCATCACCATACCGTGTGCCTTTGTCTCGAAGACCATGATGGCCTCCAATACCCTTGTCCCCAGCCAGGAAGAAGAAGACGCCTACGAAGAAGAGAACGTGCATCAAGTATACCAACAGATTGCACATCATTTTTCATCCACCCGCTACAAGGTATTTCCTTATTTCCCTTGACTACCTCGGCCTCTTTGATCCCTACGTCCCAATGTACTGTATGTTCGTCACTAACCGTGGCCATGTCAGCCTTGGCCTATTGTGAAACAATTCCTTACTGACTTGAGGCCCGGGTCAATTGGTCTAGACGTGGGGTGCGGCAATGGAAAGAACCTGAGTGTAAATAAGAATGTGTTTATTGTAGCTTCAGATCGGTATGTCATCACGTTTATCTCCATATACTTGTGACTAATTCCTGCTGCCCCTCTTTCTGACCCCTCACCTTTCCATGATCATACCAGTCATGCCTCTCCCGCAAAGAATGATCCCAAATCTCAATAGAGATGATCATAAATACCCATATCCTGCGGGGTCTCAAAACTGATCCGCCGTATACCAGGTCTGAGAACCTTGCCCGCATTGCCCGATCTCACCAGCCACATTCGACCGTAGTTGCCGACATCCTCAGCCTTCCACATCCCGATTCTTTCTTTGATTTCGCCATTTCGATCGCAGTGATTCATCACTTGTCTACCCCAGAACGAAGGGTGGGTGCTATCCGTGAGATATTGCGGACCCTAAAGCCTGCCTCCGACACTGTGCCGGGCGGGAAAGCACTCATCTATGTCTGGGCTCTAGAGCAGAAAGATAGTCGTCGTGGTTGGGACAAAGGCGATCAACAAGACAGAATGGTTCCCTGGGTCATAAAAGGGACTGCGTCTGCTGGCAGCGAGCCCCAAGTGTTCCACCGATACTATCACCTCTACCAAGCCTCGGAACTAGAGCAGGACATCAATGACGCAGGTGGCTATGTTCTGGATTCGGGGTATGAAAAGGATAATTGGTGGGCAATCGCAGTGCGGTCAGGTCCCGAGTCATCATAGGATGTGCGCAGAGGGTGCAGTGGACTATTCTGAGATCCAACCCCGAAGATGATGCCGTATCACATTCTCATGCCATGGCATGCGATGAAGCCAGCGAGGGTCATTCCCCATGATGAACAATCCTTTATTGCTCTTTTCCCCTGCCAAATCAAAACTGCACTGCAATGCAACTCTGATGCATTGGCAATGCGAAGTCCACCTATGCACATATCGAAGATGAACATCTATGATATAACCTCCCTTGAAACGACCAATACCTCCAACCAGCGCTATGCAATTCGTAACGACGCAATGGGGAAATCCAATAGACATAGTTATCGTCACCGTTCCCCCGGCCTGCCTAGGGAAGGGTTCGAGGAGGAAGACCGAGATTCGGGCCGAATGGGCCGCCTTGACTACCACCCAGATCCAATGGGCGGCTTATCCTATATGCTTCGCGGGGTGGCAGAAAAGGCGGAGGTGGCGCAAATGCGGGTACTCCAGCAGTGAGTTCCTCAACGGATGGAAGCTGCGGGGGATGGTGTATCGAACGCGAACTCGATCCTTTCCTCGGCCGAGACAAAGATGTGCTGGCTCTGCGTGCTCTGGGCGCAGGTGGATCGATAGCAGTGCTTGACAGCGAGAAAGGAACAACTCCGGCACGACGAGCCATCTCCTGCTCTCCCAATTGCCAATGCATGGCTTCCGCTGCCCGCCATGGAATCGCCATTTCCTCTGCGACCTTCGACCACATCTCGGCCTTGAACCTGTGATTGAGTCAGTCAACCAGAACCCACCATACCAAGTGACGTTGATGAAACCGGCGGATGGCTCCAGGCAACAATAGCATACCTTTCATATAGCCGCGCAAGCTTGTTTTTCTTATCCTCGTCCCATTCACTTCTGCGTTCCAGATAATTCTGATAGTGAAGACGGCAACTAATGGCACTTCGCCCCGGAAGGCGCTTGCTGATATCTTCCCATTTCATACCACTGCCTCGCAACTCGATGATAAGAGCATCTTCCTCGGGAGACCATTTTGACTGCTTCTTAGCAGGGGACTCTGCCGTATGTGCTGGTTGAAGACGCTTGACAGGGACTGAGGAGGAAACATTGGTGAGCGGCGGGACCGCCGTTGCTGAATGAATAGTAGACGGTGTCGCCACAGGCAGAGACGGGACCAATGAAGCTTGAGATATCGAATTCGTCGCATAGGCGGGCGCGCTAGTCACCGAGGCAGTCTCTTCTTCATCTTGGGGTTTCAGTAACAGTGAGATATCCACTTTGGCGGAGGGTAAGATGGCCTGGTTTTGTAACGCAATCATATGCGCGATTAACAACGACGGATTGCTGCTCTTGGGTAAAGAACTTGCTGCTAGTATGGCTTAGAGGAGCAGTCAAGGCCGGAAGAGGAGACAAAGCAATGGGAGCTGTTTGCGCAAGGCACTCCCACAGGTTACCGTACGCGATGTGGAATTTCAGCGAATGTAGAAAAATGACCTTGACCAGGATGAATAAGCCCAATCCACGGATACGTCTGTGTTTATCTCTGTCTCCCGAAGATAGCGACGGTTCACAGAAGCTAGGAACGTCTAGAGCGAGGAGCAAAAACTCGTGGCACCCCGGGTGCTTGTCGAAATATAGAAAGCTGACGAGTAGGAACCAGTCCACGAGTGAGCCGTAAAGGAAGAGAAGCTGCAAAACAACAAGAGCAGGTTGGAAAAATGGTTTCTGGGACGGGGATAGCAGATAGCGACTTGATATGTCAAATATGGCGTTTGGGAAGCTTCTGAAGTTGTGCCAGGCTGACTGGTAGACCAACAAATGTGGTAGTGGGAAAGTACTGGCTAGGCACAAGGTATACAAGCGGCAAGAAAGAAGAAACGACAGAGGCAGATGAAAGTCATTGAAATCAATCGTGAGGATCAGGAGTGACAGACAAGAGGAAAGGGAAAAAGGCCAGACACGACAGTGGAAACGCCTGGACATGCATAAAAAACGAGATCATCGGCATTGACAGCTGATGGAAGAGACAGCAAATGAAAAGCTCAACAGTAATAGAGTACGTAGCAAGGTGCTGGTGGTAGCTAATACTAAGGTAGCAGGCAATAGGTAACTTATGGGGAACAAGAGACAGAGGCTAAAATTGAAGAGGCGAGGCCAGGGCCCTGTGGTGGGGGGGGAGGGGGGGATTGTTTTTTTCGGGAAGCCGTTTAATAAACGAAGCACATTAATATGATTAGGTAGGCATGGATTGACCGTTGAGATTAATTAGGTATCCTACACAGTACTTTGATTTACTCGTATTCGGTAGATGGTTATTTTTCATTTCCCAGCAAGTCACTTCACTAGCTTTCAGTACAGAATAACTATCTACTCAGTATACTATACAGGTTCGAATTAATACCAGCCTTGTGGACTACACTGGTCAATAGCAGAAAGGGTCAATTTGACTGACTGACTGACTTCATTGCGATCTCATCTGGACTACGAAGTACGATGTAGTTAGTGAGCCGGACTTCAGCCGGGTACAGTGCCATGCCTTGTCGTTGAAGTACGTACCTACCTAATCATTCATCACCTCTAAAAGTGTATTCACACACTGTTGTCGAGAGAGCACCTTCTTGGGTTCAATTATCTCCCAAGGATTGAACAGGAACAAGATAATGGCCGTAAACTACGAAAAAACGGGACGAATGAGAGAGAGAGAGAGAGAGAGAAATAGAGGACCTAAGAAATTGATTCAATTCAATACAATAAGAAAAGGGAACGACCATAAGAACAACGGTTCCACCGCAAATACTAAACTATACTGGAATGGAACACTTTCCTGGCGGTCAAACCTCGCCGGGAGCATTCGAGCCTAGCCTCGGTCTGGGTATTATTGTGACTTGGTTTGTTGGTGAGGTGATTGTCAAGACGGTGAAACAAAAACCCATTCAAACTACGACTGTAGCCCATAAGGTAAGCACAACATCTCAGGGCCCTTCGCTGGAGTTTGTACCCACTATCATCCGTTGCGAACTTCGGAAAGAAGAAGGCAAGGCCGCGGGCGGGACATGCATGCGGGATATCCACCGATCTCTACTTCCTTAAGCTGCGATAGACTGGTGTCGCGTCACTGAACATGTATGGCAATGATAGGGATGAACCAGAAAAGGCAGAGTGGTAACATCGAAGGTAATATGAGTGACGAACAGTCCAAGCCACAAAGGCTTAGTGGTGGACAATGGGAAATCCTGTTATGAGACTTGGAGTAAAAGTTCTTTACATGACCACACATATAGTGTTGCATAGACCAGGGAAGGCAAAACAGAAGGGGATGTGGGTGATTCAGGAAAATTAGAGGAGAAAGGAAATACCCCCACCCCCCTCTCCTTAGAAAGAAAAAAAGAAGTAAGATGAAATAAGATGAAATAAAAACTAGATGAAGTAAAATAGGGCGAAGAAGGACTGCGAGCTAACCTGAGGGTTATCCCAAATTCGAAATAACAAGATAAACAATAACAGTAATAACAAGACAGCCAGAGAACATGGTTCCTCCTTGTGGAGAACGCCATCATCCTAAACCGGGAGGTGGAAATGGTCTGAGGAGCTCCATTCCAACCAAAGGGCGAATATGGGCAATAATGGGGAGGATGCGTAACAACGACGGCGTCAAGTCGACTAGTCTCCCAGAGCCTCGGCCGAAACGGAGTCAACAGTCTCTGCTGTGGGTAAAAGGGCAGGCGGAAGGTCTGATTATATATTTACTCTACGGAGTACATAGTCAACTCAGAGAGTACTGGAGCAAGTAATTACCTCCCACTGGCTCCTAGTAGGTGTGTAAGTATTAGTAGATGTAACTAGCAGTGGAGCACTGTACTGACAAAAATAGGGTTCTGTCAACTTTCAACCTAATCAAACAAAGCACTGGCGATAAACCCTACCTCCTCATAAGATAGGTTCAGATAATTCTCCGAACTCAGACTTTGAGGCTGTCATCCGTCAGAGTGTGATTCCTTGTTTCTTGCTTTCTGAGTTGCCGCTTCGCTCGGTTCCTCAATTGACAAAATGCAAATTTCCGAGAACCAAATGGTGCCGTGTTCCCTCCCACCCAATGACTAAGTCTGATGGGCTGGCCGGTGGTACCAGACCGTCGCGATGGATCTGCCAACGGCGAACGAGCCCCAACCCCCAGGCCTTAATTGGAAAGTATCGGCCCAGGTAATGATCATATTACTTGAGTACATACTCCGTACAGTGTAGTATGATACTGTACCTCGTGAGCCACTTGAATCAATTGACACCACTATCATTTTAGGAATATTGACTCACCAGCCGCTAGCTGGGATCTGGGGTCTTCAAGTTCCTGCCTTAGCAACCACTTGGTCTACTTTCGGCACTTCAGGCCCAAAGTTCTCAATTGATCGACCTTATCAGGACAAAACCGCCGTGTAACACGTATGGAACGAGTAGGCAAGCAGGAAGCAAGCCTGCAACCTGATGTGACCAGTCCTCTCTATCCAAGCCCTCTAAGATTGAGATCTCATCGAGTCAACCAAGCGAGTGGACCCCTCCCGTCCCATTGTGTCCGGACTAGGACATGGGACTGCTTGGCTTTGGGCGGAGGGTACCAACGGATATCGTCTATAATATGATAATATTAATATTGTACTACGTAGGATACTCGAAACATGTGTAGTCCCGACCAGAAGTGATACATCCACTTTCCAACGGTGACAGGGCGGCAACTTGCCTTTTGCCGCGAAATGTGGAGTGGGTTGGTTAACTTCCGGGTTCCATGAGTGGGTTTCATGTTCACTTCCTGTCTCAAGGAAGCGGCGTGGGTCGGAAATTTTCTACAGATCTGTTTTAATGTTCCTTCCTCCTACTGTATATAATCCGGTAGTGTATTATTGCTTTGTTGCTGCTCCCGATCCTAGCCCGGTATCGGCTCCGTATGTACTGTACTGTACTACTCATAGATCTTGTCTCTGGCAAACCCATTTACCACGTAAAACCAGAGCATATCATTTCAACATACATACATAACATAGCCTTCCAAGTCATTGTAGTCGATGATACTTATACTCCAGAGACTATATGCGCACTATATGCGCTAGGCAATACAAATCAAAGTAATCTCAGCAATGGGCAATCTGTTACGTGCCTTTGAATTGCTGAATCCGGCTTTTACCTAGCATTCCCAGTCTTCAAGCCAACACACAAACCTTACTCCTGACCTGTATGCCATCGGGAGGCGTCTGGCAATCAGTGACCTTGGCTTTCCCTTCTCCACTGCTGATTATTGTCTCGCTTGCTCCTCTTGATTGTTTAGCTACTCCATGCCTCTTGCTGACATGCTCTGGCCAATCCTGCTGCAGGGCTCAAGAATCGCCAGATGCGCAATCCCTTTGTGTGTGTGCAGATGCTAAATTGAAGTAACTTAGGTCTGGGAAGGAAGCTCTGCCGGTTGCATTTTTTTGCTGCAGTTAAGATCGATCCCCTTGCGGTCGGGTGGGATATAGAGGTCGGACATCATGGGGTCTCACGGTATAACTGATCATGTACTGTACTAAATACAACAGACTCAGCCACTTATTAAACTCACCACCCTTTAGTAATCTTGTAAGATGAAGATCCTTTGGCCTGGACCATCAGAAAGAGAAGAACTACCCGTGTCCAGACCATCCGGTTCGCAAGACGCGTAGTTCGCTTGACGTGCACCTGAGCAAATCCCCACCACGCTAGAAGGGAAGATTGATCTGATGTTGGGGCTCTCCATTCCTTTTTGTTTGACCAGGTTAAAACAGATGCTGTACTGTACATGCTATGTATGTTTACTATGTATCTTAATACCCAACCTCGTGACATTTCTCCCCATTCAAGATAGTGGACTACGGATCGACCGCATAGCAAATAAAAAGCCAATCTAGATACTACGAGTAGTGAGTCTACAACTCTACGCTGTCTGGGCAGCGACAAGGAAGGAAGACAATGGGAATGTCTCCGTGTGTGCAGTTGTGGTGCGGTGGTGTCTGGACCAGTAGAGGACCACTACCTAAGTAAGTAAGCCTAGAGCCCGGGAGGGTAGTAAGACTGATCGATTAATCATTGCCTTTCGAACGACGGGGCCGCGGGAACAAGGGGTTTCCCGCCAGTCTGCACGCCTGCAACAAGTTCTGCAAGATTACCTAGGGACCGGTGGGGTCGGTCAAACGGTGGCGCTTTATCAGAATGAGAAAAAGTAAAACAGAAAAGGGACAAAGAAGATAACTGTCCTTCTATACTCTTACACTTGTGCATATCTCCTCATAGTCTTTCATTTTCCCCAGGCTGAAAATGATTAAGGTGCAGAAGAGAAGGAAGAGAGGAGGGAGAACATGCCCCTCCCAAGCGCTGAGCAGTCTGGGCTGAGCATGATTGTCAGGCTAAGTGGGCCCGACAACGCCATGACTTACATAGTAGTTAGTGTAGTGCATTCTGAGTACTCCGTGACATGGCAAACGCGCTGGCTATTCGAAGCCGCCCGCGAGAAGGCCAGACTCAACTCCATTGTTCCCCTCCTTTGTTCACTGGACCAGGCATGGCACACTACTAAACAGGAATTCACCCTACATAGTATAGTTGTTGCATAGATCCCCAGGAGACCTAAGATGTACTCAGGTCATTATGGAAGTGTTCTTTTCCTAGCACATTTATACTGCCACCTAGATATCTCCATTGATGCCGCCTGTGTGCACCATGACACTGATCGAGTACACCAACCTTATGAAGATACTTTTTGCTGATTGAGACCACCGGTGATGCAGCTAGACAGCTCTTGAGCTACCATTGTGGTCATTCGAGTTCTCCTTCCCGCTTGAACGCAATCCCCCATATCCTGCTCCTCCTACAGTTGGTTTAATAGTCTCCCGGCAATCCTGAAAAGATGCCTGCGAAGCAACAACTAACTATAAGTTGGAGCGTTGGAAACCACGAGTATACTCTCATTTAGCGTGACGCAGATGATGCAGGCAAGCTGCTGTGAATGAAGAGGCAGCGAGTCACCGCTCAGTTGTTGATCACGGAGAATCGATTGGGTACATATAGCACATTTAATGCCTGGCCACAGGCCATTACTGGATCAGCCATCCCTCTGGCGACACCCTTTGTGAGGTCGAGGCTGAGCCTGACACGATGAGAGACTCAATCCCCTACCTGCTGTCTGATTCCCGGGCCTTGTGCATATGGTACGGCTTGTAGCAGCCAGACACTGCCTACTATGCCTGACTGGGGAAATGGCGGTGGGTTGCATCCCTGAGGTAGGTCTAGAACCCCACCGTGAACGACGCCTCCCGTAAGTTGCTCTTTGTTCGATCTTATTGCCAGCAGAAAACCCATCTATTCTTCTCCAAAAACGAGAAAAAAAATTCAAGGGTATCCTCTCGAGGTCTAACTTATCAAGTTGAAAACTCTCCTGGCGTTGGGGACCAAGGAAGCAAACGCAGCGACACGCTTCCAAGCTAGGCTGAATAACTATGTGCAATGACTTTGCATCGACACTGAGGAAGTCTCAGCAAGGTGCTGTACTACTGCTTGGAGGTCCTATATACGTAGGTAGGGTTCAGCGACCAGAGCATGCAGTAGGCCTATCAGAGCTAGACGCCGAGGTGCCCAATCACGGATTGATACAGTCAGCTATGACATATACTCGAAAGCAAGATGTATGAAGTGTGATTTTCGGATTTGATTAGGACAGGCTCATGTCCAAAGTGGGAGAGGAATACTGGGCCATGCCAATAAGCATGACCGATTCACTCTCAAGCTATGTGTGAGTATTGCAGGTTTACATTCACACCTTCTATCTTTGCACCTATACAGGACGTATCACGAGCGTTGAGCGCCATCGCTGTTATCCGGGTCGCCGTTATCCGGGAACCTCAAACGGTTCTCTACAGTGGTCATTTCATGCCATTGGGTTGAGTCCTGTGGTGGAGCCTGGCAGGGAGCGGAGAATTCGATGATAAGCTAAGTACTAATCGATTACTCTTAAGTACTGTAATTGGGATGCTTTTGGATTGAAGTTGGAACCCACCTTCAGACTACGACGGCCTATGTATTTCCTGAGCTTCTTACGTTGCTTACTGTATGTATTTCCCCCCATCCGATCTACGATCTGCTCGGCTAGGTAGGGCAAGTAGGTACGGAGTACAGTAGACATATATGTAGGAGGTCATCCTCTATATGTAGCACTCGATCGGCTGGATCAGCCCCATAAATACGTGCTTGAACCTCTTAGGATATCTAACATAGAAAGGGCGAAAACCACGGACACTACTAAGCTTGAGACTTTGAAGTATTTTTGAACGTTTGTTGTGGAAGATTAAGCAAGTCATGCAGGTCAGATTTATCCTTCCTGTATCGAAGCGGAAAGGTGGTTGGTGGCTGTGACTGTCGGCGATGGTACGAGTTTGCATGGGGCATTCGACGGTGTTCAATCGCTAGTTGAAACAGTCGGCGAGATAGAAGATCTCTGGCAGCTACTGAGTACATTTCCTGAGTGGCGGTTGGGCTATGCCCTGGGTTGGGATATCCAATGGCCCTGGGTTTGCGCCACTGTACTGCCTAATGATCTTCGTGATCCGGAAAAACGCGCGCACTAAAGATCTGAAGCCGATTAGCGAGCCCATGTACTCAATTCATGTATGTATGTACATAGTACTGTACTCCATAGCTTGGTCTTGAGACTCCTGTGATACTGGCTTGACTGATTTGAGTTCAATTCATGACATCTACGACCTTGTCCCCTCGATCCTCCTTTGACGGTAGTCTCTTTTCTCCGCAAGTCTTTCAAATCTGTTCCTCGACCCAAAGATCAAGCTGTCAAGTGCGCGTCAACATTATCTGCTACTACGAGTATGTACACACTCGATCTGGCTTTGTGCAGATGGGTCGAACCCACCTAGAATGCCTCGTATTGGCTCGAACACTCCAGGGAAGTCAAAGTCATTTCAAGTTCGAGAGGACTTGGGGAGAAATCTATAGGGAGTTTACTCCTCCGGTTCTTGAACCTGCAGCAAACTGTGGTTCATCGCGCGTTTTCGGGTGGAGGGGCTGTCAGTAATGAATACGGGCTCAACAATTCTCTGGTTTTCCTCAAATGGCATGACTGTCAATTGGGCCCCGATGAAATCGTTGCAACGTCATCGACATAATCCACATGGAGCATATCCAGAAGGGATCTGCTTGTGCAAGTCTGGGAGTCTGTGAACGTCGGTTGGCCTTTGCCACCTTCTACGGTATACCTACACATGTAAGTTACAGTACTGTATATTAAGTAGTTAGATTACAGTACTACCTAGGTACATAAGTACATCGCCACTCACCAATCGTCTCTCTACCTGGCTCTCTCTATGGGAACCTTGAAGTTAGGAAAGTACCTATCACCACGACTGTTTGGACCCAGCCAGGGTCGTTGTTCGAGACCCTCGCTGGATCAGTAACAGCCTACGCACCCAGATAAGGAAGGAACAGCATTAATGTATGAGTACTCGACCGAGTAGTACGAATGGACTGACTTCCCAGTAAGATTGGAGTCAATAAACTGACTTTTAAGTGCTTTGTGTCTATGCTGGATTGAAGCGCGTTCCGCCTGGTCTCTTCAGCCTTGTGAACCGCATCTTTCTTTCTTTCTTTCTTTCTTTCTTTCTTTCTTTCTTTCTTTCTTTCTTTCTTTCTTTCTTTCTTTCTTTCTTTCTTTCTTTCTTTCTCTCCTCCATTGCATTCTCCCCAAAGACGAGAAGGGGAAGCAAGCGGAAATGATCTCTTTCCTCCATTGAAGCCTTCTCCGAGTCCTTTTCCATTGCGAGAAGAAGCGATCATGTCGTACAAGTGAGTTGCGGCGGGCAGAATCTGAGGGTAATGCGCGCGGGCTGCGTAGAGGCTTGCAGGTGGTAATTAATTCCGCTCCACATCGGACAAGATGAAACAAGAACCTGGGCTGTGTGGAGTGGGGTAAAGGGCAGGGAAATTATGATCACACTTGTAACACGGTCATTCCCGCGTCCAAGCAGCGGAACCACCGCAAATGAAGTGGGAAAAAAAATGTCAACTTGTTCAACAGTTCGTGAACCAGCGAGTCATGGCCCCGAGGCGGTGGTGGCCTAGACTTGACAATCGCGGATGTGTCCGACTGTCTGTCGCCTGTTCGCGCCCCTTCTGTTGTTTATGATAAATGAGGCCAGAGCCTATAAGCAACAGCTGGATCGATTCCACAATACATGGATGCTGTTAGTATCATTGTTTCAGATGTTCCTAAACCCTGTCCGCTGCCTTTACTGTCAGCGTCCGACATCCTGGTAAGTGATTGTTGAGAGTTTCGAAATGAGGGCATTCTCACTCACCTTAGCACACAAATATGTGTGGAATAAATTTGTGGACAGTTTGTGACTTCGAATGACTTGCGGGGGGAACGTTAACCGCACCCTGGCAGCTTATGTTCTATCCTGAGTACATTTCTTGATCCACTCACTCTGTATACTGTAACTCCACTAACTACACCTTTAGCTATAGAGTCACTGCTGTACAGTAACCCTTCTTGCAACATCCCGTGTACAGTATCAGGGTAATCAACCTGCTGATGTCTGATTCAACCTTAGACAGATTCAGGTATTGTGTAAGAGATAGACACACTGGCACAGAGCCCCATCACCGGGGGGACCCTTTGGTAATCTTGGTCGAGTCTGACTTCCCCTCCATCGTGCAGCGGCTGCCTTGCCTACCTACTATGTGGAGGCTATGAACCCCGCTGGATCTTGAAAAGTCAACAACGTACTTTGTAAAAGTGAAGATATGCCTCTTTCACACGGGATACGCTACGAGGGCAAACTCCTTATGTGGAAAACAAAGAAGGGTCGGTGCCTTGTTGTCCTGCAAATCAGCCAGACCTTTCAGTTGTTCTAAGTATGAGCATTTTCGAAGTCAACAAAGAGTGATGAGCCAAAGTAATAAAGCACCTCCATGCTACGCACAAAGAGACAAGATATATCAGTACTAGCGATATTGCCTCCTGAACTGGCAATTATCAGATGGAGAGTGTGGTTCCAGTGTCTGAAGGTTTGACTGGTAAGACAACTTGTATAGGGAGGTGTTGTCATGCGAGGCTTACTTGAAGAGTCTAGGGATAGTCCGACTGACATACATACCACCTATAAGTGGGTGGTTACAAAACATCAAAACATATGTTTCCATCCTGATTAAGACGGTCTGTGGAATGAACACGGTATGCATCGAGAACTAGTCATGACCAGCTACATGTTTTCCCGATAACTTGATGTAGAGGCCTCATACAGTATCTCTTCATGTAATCAAATCAATCCTAGAATATTTCCAACGTAATTGGCATAGAAAACAATTCATTACTTGTTCTAATCCCAAGGACAAACTGTAAATAATCATGATTGACATAGAAGAGTTTGAAGTGCTATATTCTACCGAGCTATGTGTAAAAGAAATCTACATAAAGAGATCAATGTTAGAGGAAGATATACAAAAATCTTCTACCAATGGATCTTGCTACTACCACATAACATTTGACAGCAATGCTAACAAAGAGCAAGATATCTAACAACCACTATTCACCCTCCAGTAACCTCTTTATCATTCATGTACCAAACAACATGACATATGTCTATATACAAAGGTCTTCTATAAACAAAAGAAGGGTCACCCTGAGTTGTAAGGGAGGTATGTACTATCTATTGTTCTCTTATAGGACTACTTTAGCAATAAATTCAATAATATATACAAGGACTGGCACGGTATCTGCATGGCGACTAAGATAATATACTATCACCTGGACCCAACTTATACACACTCAAGCACTTATTACCCAGAATCTGATCGTACTTAGGCCTACTGTAGTAGGTGACACAGTAAGCCCCGACAGGAGGTGCACTGAAGATGAGTGATTCAGCTAATATATACAACAACATGGTGCGTCGTTGGTGAAACAAATGCTTTGACCGTTCAAAGTAGGCTCACTCTGCGTTTAGGGAAGTCAACTCAGATCAGCGTGGCCCAGCGAGACTTATAGAAGTCCCAGAGGCTTTGAAAACCCAGGAAATCTATGCTACCGGAATGCGGCACTCATATTTTTGTTGCATATGCCCGATTTATGGAATTGGCTCAGGTGTTCCTATCAACCAAGTCACGACCTCGAGGATTGCGGCTTTTCGGACGGTTGTTTAGGATGTCGATTGTGCCGTCTATATGAAGTCTATTGGCTCGAATCTCCACGCGATCTTGAATCATGTCTTAGGGCTCTCTGGCTGCATGTCCAAAAAGCTGCTTGGAAAGGGCGGGATATTCGAGAACAGCATGATATATGTGAGTTTCTAGACGCCTTAATTGCGCGGCTGTACGCCGATAGTACGGAGAGATCAAGAGTGTATGTTCTCATCAAACCCCAGACATGCCAGAAGCTGACTTCGTTGAAGCGATCTTGAGAGCATGTTCCAAAGCATTGTCGCCCGAGAAGGTCAATGTTCCCAGTGCGGGCAGCGGAAGACTCTACCAGCGAGTATGAACTGGTGGCTTATTGCGAGTTTTCCAGAAGACCTTTGCCCGGGCTCTCATGGGCTACTCAAGATAATAGAGAACAACCTGCGTCCGACATCCTTGCAAGTGGCTTGTCGCGGCTGTGGTGGTTCTAGAACTAAGCACGAAATCAGTCAAGATATTGTTCTTTACCCGGAAGTTATCTTCGTTCAAATCAACCGGTTCCAGCATGATAAACAGAAGAATCAAGACTATGTCTGCATCGAAGAGACCTTGACCTTTCCACCTGAGATGATACAATATCAGCTTTTTGCGTTTGTCAATCATCTGGGTAGAAACATCGACCACGGCCATTATAGTTGCTTCGCACAGGGCCCGTATGGTGACTGGGCTTGTTTCAACGACGGCATAGTATCCGCCAAAACACTTGCAGCACTCAGGTCTCACGAGAAGAACCGCAAGGATGTATACGTGCTAGCTTATCGCCGGACACAACTTTTGCCAGTGCGATCAGCACCGCCACTTATACCAGATTTTGAAGAGGAGGGCCAGTCCATTGAACAATCTCCCAATGAGGTCACATTGGACGAGATGATCAAGTTTGAGGGAAGAGCCGTTCGATGGACTTTCAAGCAACAGCTGGCACCTCCTGGTGATAATGGAGCTTTGATCAAGTTGAAGTCAGCCAGAGCCAGAGTGCAGCGGGCACAGGTACGAATTAGGCTCACGTCTATAACAGGCGAAGTCCTTGAAGGCCAAGGGATCATTCCCCTGCAGCCGAATATCATTCCCGCGCAACCGGTAAGTAAGACAGCCAGACCTCGGGGTGTCCTCAAGAGAAAGTTGCCTAAGCCCAAGATTCCCCCAGGCCCTCCACCCTTCACACGATCCGCCGCAAAGCGTCTGCAGCAAAGCCGCGGAGTGGCTGGTTGACACCTTATGCCTATTGCTGGGGTTGTATTTAGATTGTGGTAATCTGCTGCCATATAGTATACGACCGATATGTTGTTTGTGCGCCATGGTGGGACTATTCTGGCTTTATTGTCTCCGTCGAGTCCGAGATGGATAGAGCGCTCATGTCCATATAAAGTCTATAGCCATGTATATAATTGTCTATTGGGGTGTGCATCGGTTGTAGACGGGCAGGAAGGAGAAATCGGGAAGCTTTGCCTAGGGGTTAATACTTACCGGTTAATCCGAATACATATCCTGTCCGTTGCAACCAACAACTTCGAATTTTTCTTCTTTGAACCGCCAACCCAATGGATATTCACGAAGTCAAACACCAAAGCAATTTCTTCACTCCTGCTGACTTTGTGGACCAGGTGGCTTCTGGCATTTCAATCTCCAAGGTCAATACTTCGAGCGATGGTCAGCAACACGAACAACAACAACAACAAGAACAATATCCAGCCTGCGGAGAAAGCCCGTCCCGTGGTTTCTCTGCGCTGCATGCGACCCAGATCGCCGGTGTAAAGTCTCTGATGCTAGCTCTCCACTGTCTTTTCCCTAATGAACTCCTGCTCGCTTTGGATATCCTTGATCGAGGGTTGGTAAGACGTTTAGTATCGACTCACGACGCGACGAATAGCCCCACGACCCAGGCCTCGTCGGTAAGATCGACGGAGGATGTATTCCTGGTGAATTCAACCTCCGGGGTTCTCACGACGCAACCGTCTTCGCGATATCACCTCTATAAGACAGATAGCGAGACAAAAGCGTACGAAGTCCGCCTGCAAGCCTGGAGCTGCACATGTCCTACCTTCACATTGGCTTCATTTCGTGGGCCATTGTCACCCGCACCTGAAATGACCTCCTTATCCACTGTTGCTACTGCTTCTGCTATCGAATTATCGCCGCGCCAGGATTATGCAATCTCCCATGGTTCTTACCCATTCGGGGGTATGTTGGCACGCGGATCGGTCCGGTCTTCACCCCCCGTTTGCAAGCACCTCCTTGCGAGTTGGCTGGCTGTTCGCTGTCCCAGTCTGTTGGGTAAGGGGAATGACGGCTTCGTCTGTGTCAGCGCGGAGGAGTTGGCGGGCTGGTGTGCCGGCTGGGGGGGCTGAAGCCCGTGTCGTATTTATGCCACGAGTCAGAGGGGGCTCCAGCGTGGTCACCTCCAGGGAGTTGATTGCCTCACTACAAGATCAGGGTGCGGTGTTAACAGCCTACGGTACAACTGAATACTCAGCACGATCGATGTCTCCGAAGACAACCCCGTATGGTCATGATCAGCCGTGTCCGAGGTTACCCTAATGTACAATCTCATGTAATAAATGAATTGGTCCTTGAAAATTGATCGTATCGCGTTGACTCCAGGCCCCTCTATTCCCCTCTTGAACTCTTTTTCTTGGACTTATCCTTCACTACTTCTTGATCCTCCTTCTGCTCTCCATTGACGACGCCATTGGTCTTCTTAGTCGTGTCATTGTCGTCCTTGGCCGCATTAGCGTCCTGCTCCCTCTTCAGCTCGTTCTCTTCTTGCTGCTGCCGATTCTGAATCTTATTCTCAATCAGGTCGTGGAAGGCAGTGATGGCGCGAATCAAGCTACTCAAGTAGATCGCCATCAATTGATCGTTCGTCTTGATGCTCATGGCCCGTGCCAATTCGCTATTATCCGTCTGCTGCTCCGGGGCACCACCGCTGATGCGAGGCGTTGCAGCAGGGGTGGATAAATTAGGGAGAAGGTTGAACACATCTTGGAGGTTGCCCAAGATGGCATGATTGACGGGCAATTCTTGGTCGAGAACTTTCTGCAGATATTGGCCGATGTCACGTAGACGCAGATGCAGGCCCTGCAGCGATTGCAGCTGGGATGTTATCCGGGTAGAAAGTGTTCCCACAGCGACATCCCTGATGTCACGGAGTAGGTGCTCCACTCCAATCTCCTCGGCCTCCTCTGCTTCAATTATGGACGGTGTGTGGACAAAGGTTCTGGACGTCGTGGTGCCGTCCTGTAGTGGATCACCCCGAATTAGTTAGCGAGACCAAGGCGGAGATAGGGTCCGAGAACTGAATCGCTTGGAAACCTACGTCTTTGATTTCGTCAACGGCAAAGTAAGCGTCGGTCGGAACGCCTACTTCTTTCGGCTGAACGTCCACAATTACTAGCAAGGGGTTGGGTGTGTATCGTTTGAAGAGCTCGTTGATCTCCAGATCTGAGGCGCGCAGCTTCGGGCCTGAGTGATACCAGCCGACCAGCTTCTCCCGCGCGTTGATCTTCTTGAACATGTCCCTCATCGACTCGACAAAGTTGTGGTCGAGAAACCACACAGACGGATCCTTCTCATCCTCCTCGAAGGGGACTAGTCACCAAGAACGGTCAGTTCATTCCGGTGGAAGTGTGAGACGCTCTACCAGCAGATGAGCTTACCGGCAAAACTGTTTGATACGCGGACAGTCTGGCCCGAGTTCTCTCCTAGCAGCACACCCACCACTCGTTTCCGAGTGCCTTTAGCTGAGCGACCATAGTGATCTGCGACGGAAAGAAGGACTAATGGGGCAACGGTGACAGTTCGCTGGACAAGGGAAAGTGTGTCCGCCGTGGTGGCAGGCATGGCGGGAAACAAGGACGCAGAGCGGTATCACTGAGCTAAGTGAGAAGTAACAAGTATAGCGACGACTAGGCTTGTCAAAGGATGGAGAGAGAGCCTTAGCACAGATGAGATGAGAATGGGAAGTAAGTGACAGGAAGTCCGAAGAGAGGGAGAGGGAGAGATAGAGAGAGAGAGAGAGAGAGAGAGAGAGAGAGGGAGAGATGACGATGGAATAGCTGTGGCAGTTCGGGGGAGCTTCCGGGTGTTGTGTGGCTGAACAGTTGGTTGATGCATCAGCCACACATGGTATGCTGCATGTCATGCCTCAGGCCTCAAGGCACTACTGGCGGGTTTCGCTGTCCATCCGTCCGAAATGCGTCTGTCTGCACTCTGCAACTACTAGCAATTGTCGCACATGTTAGATCAATAGTTTAGATGAGCATCTTTCGCCTAGAATATAGGTCCCTTGCTTCGCCATGGTCACGGCAATTGCAATTGCATACTGCATTACTGAACTTCTCTACAAATAGTTGATTATTGCTCCGCGCGGCGCCGCAGCCTCGGGTGGGCGCGCCGCGACTCCACCCCGGCACTCCGGTCGGCGGCCTCTTTTCAACCACTTGACCCCCCCCAAAACGAAGTCAACTTTCTATCCGCTTCCCTTTCCCCGTTGCTTTTGCGCGCCCTCATCCTCCTTCTCTTCCCTTGCCCCCCTTTGCCCACTCCGCTTGTCTCTTTTCCCGGCTACCTTTGGTAGTGTCAATTCCACAACACTTCCTCACCATATTTGTCAATCGCAATGGCTCCCATCACGGAAGAGATCATCCATGGTCTCAAGGACACCATCGGAAAGCTTGAGGCTCGTATTGAGGACCTGGAGGGTCGCCTTACCAGTGAAGTCAAGCCCAAGTCTGTTACCGAGCATATGCGCATCATCTTAATGGGACCTCCCGGTGCTGGTACGCTTGGATAATGCCTATTATCTTGCCATTCCTGTCCCTCCCCTTGTTCTTGGTGCGGAATTCTGACCGATCGCTGTGTTCAGGCAAGGGTACTCAGGCCCCCCGGCTCAAGGAGAAGTACTGCGTCTGCCACTTGGTGAGTTTATGCTCTGGTGGATAGAGTCTGGATTCACTGATACTTGGTTCTGACTGTACATGTGCGAATAGGCTACCGGTGATATGCTGCGGTCTCAGGTTGCCAAGAAGACTGATCTGGGAAGAGAGGCTAAGAAGATCATGGACCAGGGAGGTCTGGTCAGCGACGAGATCATGGTCAACATGATCAAGAGTGAGCTTGAGAACAACACCGAGTGCAAGAACGGGTCTGTCCCCCCTCCACCCACCTCTGTTCCTGATATCCTTGAGCCACAATGCACAAGAGTTTGAGCTGACAATGTGCGGTTTCTAGTTTCATCCTCGATGGATTCCCGCGCACTGTTGCGCAGGCCGAGCGCCTGGACGACATGTTGGCTGAGCGCCAGCAGAAGCTCCAGCATGCCGTTGAGCTGCAGATTGACGATGCTCTGCTGGTTGCTCGTATCACCGGGCGTCTCGTCCACCCGGCCTCCGGACGCTCTTATCACAATATTTTCAACCCTCCTAAGGAGGAGATGAAGGATGATATTACCGGCGAGCCTTTGATCCAGCGTTCCGACGATAACGCCGACACTCTCAAGAAGCGTCTCGGCACCTACCACGCCCAAACGGCTCCCGTGGTTGATTACTACAAGAAGACCGGTATCTGGCGTGGTATCGACGCCAGCCAAGAGCCTGGCCAGGTGTGGAAATCGCTCTTGGGGGTTTTCCAGAAGCCCTAAGCAGTTAGTTGCTGCAATTCCCACCAAGGAGGGATCCGAGTCATTGTCTCCTCTTACCTATCATCCTGATACCTTCTTGCCCTCGCGGGATGGATTGAAAGGCGAGGGAACGATTGTTCAGGCGAGGTCTGATCCCAAGTCTTTTCCGCCGGTCACGGATCAACACTGCAGAGAAGGCTGCGGCGATCGAATGAGGTAATGGACATGAAAAATTGTAATGTGTCTTAGGTTTCATATATAGATGAATACCTTCCGGGAGGGATTTGCTATGTACAGTACTACTTCTTTGAATGGCAGCGTGCTTCGGACTAGAAATTGTCATTTGGCCTAGCATTTGTAAGCCTCGGTCCATCCAAACCTGTCCCGCGTAAATACTACAGTTGCGTGGGGTAAACCGTCGACTCGATCTTCTCCGGATAAGTCAGCCCGCCCTGACGCCGAACCTCATCCATCACTTCCATGATGACGATACTCTCCTCCCATGGCAGGGTTTCGCTTTCTAAGCTTCCATCCCGCAAGCACCGCGCCACCTCATCTGCTTCCCAGAACATGCCCTTTCCGTCGCCAGGAAACGGGCACTCGACCTCCTTGAATTCACCTTCCCCTTTCTTGGGAATGATGCGGTACCGCTCCGGTCGGAACGCTGGTCCGTCCACCTGGATCTCACCCTTGGTGCCCTGGATGCGAATGGCTGGACGGGCAGTGTTGGCCTCGTCGGGGTCGGTAGCGACACGTAGATTGGTCATGGCCACGGCGTGGGATTGGCCTGGGTGAGGCAGATTGGACGGCGTACTGGTGGGAAAGCTGAGGAGGATAGTGGTCGCTTCGTCGGCTCCAGTTAGGTGGTAGAGCGCCATGTGAGCTGAGATGGCTGAAGGTGGTTTGCGCTGATCCCGGGGAAGGGTGTGATACAGGGTCTGGAAGACCCAGGTCAAGGAGTAGATACCCACTGCAGCATTTCTTTTGGTCAGCTTTGGCCTTTTCGGAGCACTGGGCACGGTTCAGGTAAGAAGGTGGGTAAGAGAGTCTAACAGTCCAATAAACATCCACCGGCCAAATCCTTGTTGACCATTCGATGTTCCGTTCCCCAGCGTTCTTCAACAGGGTCGCCGAAGCTATTGTCAGCCGTCACACGGAGGACCTCGCCAATGGCCCCCTGTTTGATTAAGTCTCGGACCTGCACGCTGAGCGGGAAGTATCGCGTCCAAACGGCCTCCATAAGGAACAGGTTCTTCTTCTTGGCTGTCTCACACAGGATCTTCGCCTGGGCCGCATTGACCGTGAAGGCCTTTTCGCAAAGAACGTTCTTCCCCGCCTCCAGGGCTAGCATGACGTTTTGGAAGTGGTGGGAGTGGGGAGTTGCGACGTAGACTACGTCCACGTTGGCATCGGCCACGAGCTGCTCATAGGAGCTGTAGGCTGCACAGGGGGCGGGGATGCCCGTGTCAGAGATGAACTTCTCAGAACGAGCTTGCGATGATGATGATGCTACTGCCACAATGCTGTGGGAGACGTCAGATGCGCCACGCTCAAGAGGATCTCGGAGAAGATCTCGAACGAAGACTATTTGCTGGTCAGACTAACGAGGCCAGTGTACGAGATCCTTCACACACGTCGGATTCTATGGAGGGAAACATACCGTCGGCAATCCAGCCGGTGGCTAAGCGGAGTTTCGAATAAGTTTATCACATGTCAGTTTGGTACCATCACAATTGAGAGAGAAACGCATGGGATTGTAATGTTTCTTACCCATTATTCCCCATCGGACATTGTAAGGAGCCATGGTGAAAGGTCTAACAAAACGATTAAGCTGAAGAGGAATGGGGTAGGCGAGACGGTGACAAAGGGCAATAAGGGAATGAGGGAACAGGGGAACAAGGGAACGAGTGGACTGGACCCTTCTTTTAAGTAGTTTAGGTGTTTATTTTTTATCTTTTGACAACGCGGAGTAACCCCGAGCGGGGCAAACTACCCCCGCCTACGTACGTCACCTACAGGCACTGGGCAGGGGGGGGAGAAGAAGAGACATAGAAATTTAAAATAAAATGTACCAAACCAGATTAAATCAGATATGATCCGACTGCACTCATCTCTACTTCTTTTCTTTCTTCAGATCATGATGGTGATCTATATACAAGATCCGCAAGAGATATTCATTCATCTGTGGATGTGCGCGGCCTGTGGCCCATCAACATTGTCAGTGCCCTTGGAGTCTTGAAGTCCTGGATGGGGAAAGCAGCAAAGAGAAACAGTAACGCCGCCCATGGAAATGCCTGTCTTCCGGTCCCGATGCAAAACAAAAGCCACCAGCCGATGAATGTCGATGCAGCTTCGCTCCAAAGCAATGTTATGAAAGGAAGTGGGTGTGAGGAATGGAGTCTATGTGGCATGGACACCGCCATTCAGATAGGCTCTGTCTTAATCCGTACATTCGAACTTGGGGAGTTGGTCACCTGCTTGACATTGTTAGAGATGGACAGCCTGCTTTGTTTCAAGAAAGAAAAAGGTATACTCACCTCTGCCTTGCGTTTACCCAGCACAGAGTCTGGAGTCCCGGTGCGTGCCAGTGGCGCCCCCCGATTAGCTGGCGTTGGGCCTTCCTTAGTCACTTCAGCATAGCAGCTAGCATGGTAAACACGACTCCCAACATTGGTTGCATCCTGCCAGATCCAATCTTGTACATCCTCTGACCAGGTGGATTCAAATTTCTCCTGACAGATTGGACAAGGAGTATTCCGCAGAGTCGCATCATTGGGCGCGCGGATCCACGGCTTGGACGGTCCCTTTTTCGCTACATTGCCATCATGTCCATCAGCTGCGTCGCCAGAGGCTTCCGTGTCTGTAGGATTCTGGTCGTCTCCTGCTTCTCGGGATTTGATCCAATCCTAACGTTGTTTTTAGCTTGTGAACCACCTCGGAATGGCCTCCACTGGAAGAATGCCCATCACTTACCCGTTCGTCAACGTACCAACTTCGATTCTGGGCCCGCTTGGCAGCGTCGGACATGCGTTGGTTGGTGCGGAAGTGCCAATCCAGGTGACGCGCCTTCTTCTCCTTCCCTTCTTCGGTCGCAAAGAATCTACGGCCACACGTCCCACATCGATTGGTGCGCATTTCATAGAGGCTGCTAATCAGTGTATATCGTGGGCTATGGTACCACAAGTCAGCAGGTCTCAAGGACGTCTTCTCACACGCGCAGCTTACATTTTCATGGACATAGTATTCATCTGCACATCCATCTGCCCTTCGGCATTGCCTTGAGCCTGCGGTGTGGGTACAGGCGGTGTATATCGCACCTGACCAGGCACGATGAGTGGGAATGCAGACGTAATGTTAGGAGGAGGAACGGTAGACGCAGTTGGAGGTGCCGATGCCGGTGGTAATAGCCCCTGCGCCCGCAAAGCCGCAATGAGAGGATTCTCCTTTGTCGCGGAAACAGCGGGCTGGGGCGTGCTGTTCAAAATCGGTATCTGGGGTAAAATCCCGGCCAATTGAGGCGGTGGGGTGGGCTGTTGACGCGCAGCAGTGGCCTTGATAAGCCCGGCGAGCATACCCGGATTGAGCAGCTGCTGGAGAGGCTGCGAGTGCGTTTGGGCTGGTGGGGTAGCGGCTACAGGAGGTATCGAAACAGGCGGGATATTTTGGGGGGCTTGAGGTGCCGGGATGACTGGTTTTGGTGCCAGGGCTGATACCTGATCACGAACCAACCTCAATTGCTCTTGGGTGAGCTCTTGGCGTTGTAAGATGCCCTGCAGGTCGAGGAGAGCTTTCAATCGTTGCTGCACGGCCGAATCGAGAGGGTTGGTGGCGAAATCACCGCGGGCTGCGGCAATCAAGGATTCAATATCCCGGTTCAAGGCGGATAGATCGATTTCCGAGCGTTGCTGGATTTGCGCTGTGGACATGGCGCGTGCAGCATGCGTGTCCCCCTACGAATCAGTTCAGTTAACCAAGTTCGCTGGATTTTCCACTCAACAAAACTCACCGAGGGCGGATATGCATGACCTGCGCCATTCCGCTGGTAAGGAGCCGGCACGGTTTGACTCGAGGCTGGCGGGTACCGGGCCAGATTCTGTGGTGGTGTTGGAGTACTGGACCAGCCGGGGGGAGTCCCATTTCGACCACGCGTGAGGATTTCCTGCTGGCTTCGGGCTTGCTGTTGTTGAAGGGCTGCAGTCCTTGCCTTGATCAAGGCACTTTCGATACTGCGCGTGATTTCTGGAGGGAACACGGGCCTGGTGTCTAAGGAACCGGGCACAGGCTCTTTCCATGTTTTGAGCATCTCATCGAGCTTGCGGCGAGTTTGCGAATCCACCAACGTATAGGCATTCATGAATGTCTGATACATGTTGCGACCCAGAAACAAGGTGTAGGGCGTCCCTACGTTCTTGACGATCGAGTCGACTACATACAAGGCAGGCAGTTTTTGAGCCGGCGGTGTCTACAGAGCAAATTAGAACACATCCATCCAGAAACCGGAACTACAGACGGTCTTGCGCTTCGGCAGGTCCAACAGCAGCAACTCGGTGTTGTGAAAGTGGCGAGAGTATGTCACCTACTGTTCGAATGTGATTCTCCAGCACGCGAGAGATGGCCATTGCATGTTCTGTGTTCTCTTTCGCAATGACCGTAAGATTGCTGATCTGGAACCTATCGTTTGTGGTTAGATCTTCCAAAGAGTTCTTGTAATCCTCGGCCACCTCATCGGAGGCCAGTCCAGAAGACATGATGGGGATGATACACGGTAACAAGGGGAGCCGAGATGGGCAGTGAAGAATGGGGAATGGGAAAGGACTAAAGAGAGTTGTAGGTAGTGCTGTAAGACACAGAGAGATATTATCGTCAGTTTCTCTGGTTTTTCTTCCTTATCTTTTTTTTTTCCTTCGGCAACTTTCGAAGCTTTCCTTGTGCTTGTATAAATGTTATTTGCGCTGATAATCTGCCTCTTTTCTTCCTTCGTTTTTTTCCCCCTTTTATTTCCTCTTTTTTTTTTCTTCTTTCTTTCTGTTTTCCTTTCTCAAATGTGATTTCGGATTTTGGCTTCTTTTCTTTGTTGAGTCTTTTTTTTTCTCGTGGATTGTTTCGAATCTTCTGAATACCCAGATTAGAACTTCCTATTTTCCCCTTCTTTGTTTCTCTCCAAGAACAACGATCTCCTGGAAGAGCAAGAGATGGAAAGAGACGGCGGAACTTGTCAAATGCTTGCTAGCTATCTGGGTCAGACTCGGAGAAAATAACACGCGGATGCAGGCGCAATTCCTCCACCCGAACCAGCAGTCACCGAAATAGCACCTGCGCACTACCAATCCTCCCGTGTCCTCGATGTCAAGCTACCTCATGCGATCAATCCAGCGCCGATCAATACTTCCTGTAGAGTATACCTAGCCAAAGAAGCTCCAACGAAACTAAGATGATGGACGAGGATTTAGTTTCTTCGGGGCTGAAAGAAGGAAGGCCCTCGGGAGATATAAATTGAACCACGAGGACAGTTGATGGAAAAGGCACGAGGTGAAGGTCCGAAGCGAGCGTTAACCGTAAGCAAAAGCGGAACAGGCAAGTAGAAGAATCTGTTGGAGACGTGAAGACGTGAAGAAAGTCGACAGAAGGGAGGAGAGAAGACAGAGAGGGTAAAGGAAGAGGAGAGCGGAGGGGAGGGGAAGAGAAGTGTAGGAGGGATAAGGCAAAGTGAGCAGCAAGCAAGGTGAACGAGAAGAGAAAGAATGGGTGAATGGGTGAATGGGTGGGGGGAAAAAAAAAAAATATATTTTTATATTCTGATTTTCTTCTGGTTT